AAAGTATTTCCCAGTAAAGATGACGATGTAAGGTGACATCAGAAAGAGTGTCGTAACACATCTGGAGCTGATCGTAGCCAAACATCTGGAGCTGTTTGAGGCCTGGCAAAGACCTGCACCGCTCCGAACAACACAACACAAGCCACATTCGCTCATCAGGTTTGCGCAATCACTGCTTGACAACGACTCTCAACTTTTTCACCAAACTGCTCTGACTACACTTGTCCACAGCAGGTCAAGACGGACAACCAAAGAGGCGTTCAAGGGTGTTTAGCAATTTACTGCTTAAACCTGTAGTTGATCATAAGGGAGTACAAGCAGCTCTAGATAAACACAGGAAAGCTGAGGGAGTTTTTCATTTTAGATTTAGCAAAAAAATATGTGGACCTACACAAGACAAATTTCTCTGAGGGGAACAATAAACCATTTCTGAACTGTGAACCTTGAACCTTGAACATGCAAGGCCGTGGTGGAAAGACAGTATTTATCATACATCTGTTCCAAACCAAGTTACGTACATTTTATTTATTTGTTTATTTGACAGGGACATCGCACAATAAAAGTATTGTTCAGAACCTATTGTTCAGTATTGTAGCTATGTTCGAACATAGCTACAAACTAATTGTCATCCGTATAGTCTCTGGGCAGAGGCAAAGCGACCGCAGGTTTACAGTGTGCAAAGAATTAATAAATAGAATGGCCTAGTTAGCATTTAAAATACAAGTAAAATACAACACATCTAACCAGAAAGAGACACAATATATACAGTTTATACAACACAATTATTTACATCTGATTAATGACTGCAGACTTGATTATCTTGGAGCCAGTTCTTTTAGGTTGAGTTTAAACTGTCCCAGTGAGGTACACTCCCGCACAGACAGAGGTAGTGAGTTCCAGACCCCTGCTGCTTTGACAGAAAAACAGTTCTGATCAAACAAGAAGGCCCTAAAGTTCACATAACAGTCTCCTCTGCATGTGGCGCTGGTGGATCTGATTCTCACCTTCATGATTCACACCTTTTCACAAAAATATGGTCCAGGACTAATAGGTCTAAAGTAAAGGAGGACGAATCAGCCAAACAGGTTTTTAATTTGAGGACTCGTTTGGATCTGCTGAATAGACCTGAACAATAAGCCAAATATCCGGTTTTCTTGTAATCCATTTTAACATACTCAGTGTGTCATGGGAGACGGAAATGCCTACCATTACCAATGCAGGTGGGTCTAAGAACAGATCTGGGACTTTCATAGAGATGGGTGAGTCAATTATCCTATGGACCAATGTTTTAGTGTTTTCCTGTGTGTTGTAATGGTAACATTTTCTTTGACTCCCTCTGAGCTGCATCGCCTTCAAATACTTTGAACATATTTATCCAACTGGATCCAAAGCAGGATCTGAATTTTTGCCCAAGATCCAGACAACCATGTAATTGTTTTCATGTTTTCAAATGAAGAACATGGCAAAGCTGTTCTTTGATTTTTGTGTTTTGTCTTTGTTTAAGTTTTTTTTTTTTAGTCTTCCATTTTGGGGTCCTTTTTTAATTTCACCCCATGGCAGCATGTATCCATATATGAATCGGAATTATCTTATTGCCATTATAAGTAACAACAAGTCACAAGCTAAGAATTGCTTCTGTAAATGGTGCAAAAAAAGAGTCAGAAATGATCTATTTAATTTGTCCCAACGACAGTGGCCCCGTAGATAAGAATAACTGGTAATGAATTCACCCCAAAACTATATGAACGATTTCAGTTTTATACAGGACGTATTATTTATTTGACTTCAAAACACTACTGCACTTTTCTGTTTATGTACTCTAATGTCCTTTTTATCTTTTTTCATTCATGCAGATCTGTGAATCCCTATATCCCACCGCACATTTCCCTTGGGGACAGTATAGTGTATTGTATCTTATTTTAAAGGCATGCATAATTTTTTTTATAAAATTCAGCAGGGGCAATCAGTAACACAATTCTAATATATAATATATGAAACATGTAACAGTGCAAATTATCAATTAATGTCCACAGGTATGATATAAGGTGGGCAATTTCTTTTACCGTTTCACCATACATATTTTACTTAGATATTTCACATCCTGAAACAATGAATGGCAAAGTAAAGTCTCATTATCATTATTAATAGCCAAAACGTCTAGCAAGCATGCATTTTTGTAAGACAAGTTCAAACGATGAAACCGCTTTTGATCAAAAAGCTAAATCTATTACAAATCTATTACAGAAAAGGCTTCTAGCAAAACGAACCCGCAAACAATGAAACTCGCTCTCACATACCGGAAATGCCAAAAATGTCTTGTAAATTTCTATATTGTCATTGAAAGCGCCTGTCTAAAAATGGTGACTGCTTTGAACTGGGCTGGAACCACTCAGGCTAAAATTACGCTATTTCCATCCATTTCAGTGCAACCCAAGGCCAAGTCTGGGAGTCAAAAATATGCCACTCCTATGTTATTTTCACTTCCAAACCCGAGCCAGTGCAACAGGAGACACGGTGGACCGATCTTGTTTGTTTATAATCAGGCTGAATAAGCAGGAAGGCTGTTCTAGGACAATTGTTTACTGGACATGAAGATACATTATCATTATGGGATCATTATGTTTTCATACATGCAAGGAAAACCGTGGCCAAAGTGGCCAAGTCCAGTTTGGAAGACTGGACTTAGCATGCTTCTTTCTGCTATAGTGGGAATATATGGCCACTTATTGTGCAGTATATTTAATACATTTAAAATCTCTAATATTATGCTAAAAAGAAGTTCATGTTTTTTTCCAATTTGGTCCCACAGTATTGGTTTGTGCTTTGCCTTGTCATATAGTTAGTAAGTAAGTAATCTTTATTTCTATAGTGCCTTTCACAGACCAGAGACACAAAGGGCTCTCCACACAGAGATGGGAGTGGGGTCGCCAGTACAGGAGGCGCGTGCCACACTATTTTACAAAACTTTTCTGTCTGAAAAGTTTGAGAACCCCTGGTCTTTCAGCATAAATGCAGTCCGTATTTAAGGTTTTATTGATTGAGAAAAAAACACAATATTTGTTCTGTGGAACATTGTCATTGGGAGCAAACAGAAAACCAGTGTAGTTTTCTCGACTCTCCCCACTAACCCCGTGATAGTGTCATTATGAGTGCTCTAATCCTGCAGACTTGTGGATGCTTTCAAAGGATTATCATGAACGACATCACCCTGGCTCACTTACCCACAACCCATCTGTGAGAGCATGTCAACAACACCCCCTCTCTGCAGAACTGTAAACATGAGATCTACAACAGCAAACCGTGTCCCACAGGGTTAGGCGTCACACTGCAACATGCTTTTCTGCTCGATAAGTATATGGTCATGTTTTCATCTACTGTACTTTTATTTTACTGATTTACAACAACCTGCTCAGGGTCAGATGTACATTAGCACTGCTGCTACAACCTGCTAACCCTCTTGGCTAATGTTTATGGTACACTGTCCCTGTAAAAATAAAAGTCCTACCATAACATACCATAAAGAAGTGTTTGATCAGATCACTTCTATTCATTCAAACTGTTCAAAATGGAAGATGAAAAAATAATGATTCAAGTTGCTCAAGTCTGGTATGGACTTGATGATAATGTTAGTGTTTCCAAGCTCATGACAGAAGCAGCCAGGGGTCAGAGGTCACAGAGAAGTGGGCTGTGGGTCATGGACCAGGAAATCTGCACACGGATTAAAAAAACAATTGCTTTTTATCCTTTAGAATAAGAAAGGCAGAAGAAAAATAATGGGTTGATAGACAATTCTCTACAACAGGGTTCTCCAACCTTTCTTTTTACTATTTTTACAAAGTGAAAGTTAGAGATTTCTTCTTATGGTCATATTAAAGGTATATTGGTGGATTTTCCCAAATTTTCGGAAAGAACCTCCCTCTCCACGTTTTGAACAAAACTCTCAAGTCTTATTTGACGAGCACGTATCACCAGAATGATTGACAAATGGGAGGACCAATAATCTTGATGATCCACCCAGAAGAAGAAAATCCTCCTATATACCTTTAATGCCGTGTTCAGACCGATCGCGATGGAGGAGTCAGGGGCGAGTGATTTACATGTTATGTCTATGGCCGGGTGCGCTCAGGAGCGAATGACAGGCCGGCGGTGCGAATGACGAGAGTAGAGCGAGGCGAACAGGGCGTTTTGAACGAAAAGAGCGGAACGAAAGTGGCGAAAGGGGCGTTTGACGCGCGCCTAGAGCCATTTCGCCTCCACCGCCCTACTCGCTCGAGTTGAAAAATCTGAACTTTTTGGTCAATTCGCGGGGCGTTGACCAATCAGGGACTGAATCGAGCAGTGACGTAGCATTGAACAACATTTAGTTATCTAACCTAATGGACTATTAATTATCTAACCCCCACCTGAAACGAGCTTATCGTGTCTAGTTTGGCATAACTAACTGATTAGTTTGGCATAAATCTAAAAGCTAAACAGTGGCACAATGGCTTTACATGTAAAGTACTTGGATTATAACATTTGGAATCTTATTTATTGAGAACCGCTTGATTTACTAACCGAAGACAGATGGACAGGCGCTCTGCAGGGGAGATAGAGCGCCTGTGGTTGGTCTCCCGGACGGTGATCCGAGCCCCAACGCGGGACAGCAGGTCCTCAAACTGGGTCCTGGACACACGGAAATACCGCTGGAATCGACCGTCATCCAGGCGCAGCTCCTGGAGCAGATGGTGGTACTCCCCATATTGGGAGCGTCTCTGGAGGATATCGTGGACCCAGAGACGGCGTCGCTGCCGCCGCTGTTCGGCTTTCCACATTAAATAAAGTATAGTGACTCGTTCCAGAAAATCAAAGCCCGCCATGCTGAGTTGAACAACAACCGGAACCGGCAACTGGCCATAAGCTCCTCCTATTGGATGACGCGGCGAGGCGAAATCTCGACGAAAATCCGCAGGCGAACAGAGCGAGTAATCGCCGCGATAGAAGCGAGTGTCATCAAATATTCAAGCGAAAAACGCCTGGCGTTTGATGCGATTTTTTCGCCTCCATCGCGATCGGTCTGAACACGGCATAAGATACAGACTATGCTTTAACCAAGGAAAACTATAGTATAATCCACCCATCCATTTTCTTCCCCTTCAGCTGCACCCAATTCACAGAGCACCAGCCCCTCTCTGATCCTCCTGTAGGTGCTGAGTCCACAGGAGGATGGCTGCTCTGTCTTTGGGGGCTTCAGGCAAAGTGGGGTTAAGTGTCTTGCCCAAGGACACAACGACAGCAGACATCAGTGGGTGTTGATGGAGAAGGTATCACGGTGGGTTCAAACTGACAACCTTCATGCTCAAAGGTCAATGCTCTAACTGAGCTACTGTCGCCCCAGTTTTCACATTTTTATCCGCTTTTACAGTTTGTACAGAAGCTAACCACTCTGCCATCACACACCCAAGCCCACAGTCATGCCCACAGATGCTTACGGCTTATTGGATCACACTGTCAAAAATCCCAAGAATGCTTCCTATAAGTTGGTCGACTCTGATCGTCTCCGGTCAGTCGGTTGGGGGTTTAAGGCAATAATTGTTCTTCCTTATTAATGTTTTGCCCTGGGCACTGTTGTCATAGTGACTACCTTTGGCCCCTCCCACCTTCATAAATGCGCCCTTAAAACCAGACAGTCCCTTTATGACTGTTTACAGAGACTTAGCTCTTTCTGCTGCTATGGGAAAAAGTAAAAGTGTTGACATGCTCTTTTACACTGCAAAAAATGATGACAATTGCTAACATTTTGATAATTGTATCATAATTTCAGCACATTCTGACTGTCTTAAAACAAGATTTTCCGATGGGACAAATTGTCTTATTTAAAAAAGATACAAAAAACATGTCTCCCTTGAAATGAGAAAATGTTCTTGAAAAAATATTTTTTTTCAAATGTAGTTAAAAACCACTTGATTCAAGCAATTATTACTTCATAATTTATCCTTTTTTGCAGTGTAATTGTCGCATTCAATTTAATCGCATTCATTATAACTCCATGCCTATCTGGAGGAACGAAACAAACATATTGTTTTAACATGATATACTTTATCAAATCAGAGAAGTTTTGGCTCAGTTTGGAAATGTCTAGTTACATTTTTTTGTAAGGAAATGTTGTAAAATTAGTATCTTGACTGTGTTTTGAGAAAAGTGATTTCTAAATGGTCATATGCTCTTCAGTAAGGAGTAGTAAGTAATCATTATTTATAAACCGCCTTTCACAGACCAGAGTCACAAAGCGGTTTACATTTACGGGCCTTTGTCCTCTCACTCCACACAGAGATGGGAGCGGGGTCGCCAGTACAGGAGGCACATGCCAGACCTATTGTACATGTTTTTAGTGGTAGGGGAAACCGGAGTACCCAGAGGAAACCTACGCAGACACAGGGAGAACATGCAAAATCCACTCAGTTCCGACCAGGATTTGAACCCAGGATCTTCTTGCCGAGAAGCGAGAGAGCTATCCATTCGGCCAACGTGCCGCCCACTTTACTGTCAAGCACTCTTAAAACTGATTTGTCGGTTCTCATCCAAATGCATTTTATTCCATTGTTGACTGTGTTGACTTGTATATGACTAATAATTCTAAATCTAATCTAACAAAGTGTGTTGTAGTGCTAGTTACAATATTATTTTTTTCAAGATGACTGAACAACTAATTCAAAATGCAGTATGTAAAAATCAAAGAAAAGTCAAGAATAATAACACAATCCTGAACTCATGGTAATTATATAAATCTGGAGAGGATTGCACACACAAGGAAGAAAACACACACACACACACACACACACAAACAAATTAATTAACTAACAATAGGTGAAGCCAGCAGAAGAAGCACCATCTGAGGAACCGTCTGCACCAGGAGAAGAGCGCTAGAGATGAAGCTCAGACCTCCACCGGGTTCATGAGCCAGACCCCGCACAGCCTCTAGTACAGAGCGCTCCCCCAGCTAACCCACTGGGGACACTGTCTAAAAGTAAAGTTAATAAAGAGAAAAAGTAAAATACTAAACAAAAATACAAATCAAAAGCCGTTCTGAAAAGGTGTAACTTTTCTCCATCTCTCCATTGTGAGATCAATAAAGTTTTATCTTATCTTAAGCCTGCTCTGAAACACGTGAGCATTCTCTGTGGCCCTGAGCTCCTCCGGCTGTGGTTCCATAGACGGGGGCCGTAGTGCTGGAAGGAAGATTTCAGGAATGACTATAGGAGCCTGCTGCCGGAGGAGCCCAGGGCCGGGAATGTTCACAGGGTAAGAGTAGTTCTGAAAGATAAGAAGGCCACCAAGACCAAATATGACATTTAAAAAGAACAAACATATCTCTCATGAGCTAGGATGGAGTGCTGAGGCCTCTCCTGTGTCCTACCTGCTGGATCCTCCGTTTCCCCTGAGTCTGAGCGCTCCCACCAGGGCCCCCACACCTCCTGCAGGTCTGCGTCCTCCCCCTGCCACAGACAACACGTTCATTTTGAGGTCACCACTGAATAACAGCATTTTAATCCAATGAAGGGGTACAATACGCTGAGAATGCACCAGAGCTCTAGGGCAGAAGGGACAGGGCTGTTTAGCAATGAGACATGGACCAAGGAACATTATTTATATACACATACAATCTCTGAAATCATTAGCCAAATATTCCAACAAACAATGTTTTTATAGTTGGCACTTTAAAACAGACACATATTTTACATTAGGTGCAGCTGAAGTTGCCTGACTGATGATTGATTGATTCTTGAGGATATAAGCTTTATAACTTTATGATATATGTCTAGCAGAGCTGAAGTTTGCGGGATGACAGTGTGAACTTGTGTTTATGATCTCTGCTTTGGGGCTAGTGTTAGCTTTAGCGTCAGCATAATCTTTTGCATAATTAAAAAAGCGCGAATACATTTTAGCTTTAAAATGAGGTATAACATGTCAGTATTCGCCATAGACCAAAGAGGTGTGAACTGACCCAGTGCTGACGTCACTATAGTGTTTGCTGAGTGCAGAAGAAGTCGATTTGAACATAAGATAGCTGGACTCAATTTGTTACAATGGGATAACATACAAACAGCCGGGTTGCTAACCTGGTTGCTAAGTCCCCGCAAATCAAAGCACCTTTTTGTTCAATACGTATGGCTCATATCTGGTTGTATACAGACGACATGGGGCATTGGGCATAAAAGCCAGATCGAGTCGGAACAACTCTTCGCCCCTGAGTTCTCCCCTATTGGGTTTTGTTAATTATAAAACATGGTCCTTTAGTGCATGTGGAGCCTTATTAACGCTTTCTTGATTCGAATATATATATATATATTTTTTTTTAGCTCGAACTATAATTTCTGTTAATTTTGGCCTTAAATATTGAGAATATTTACTTTGGCATTTCATGTTTTCATTATGCAAACGTTGAAAATATATGGTGAAAAAAAAAGAAAATTGGAGGAAGAGATTGTTAAAATGAGGAAAATACAGGTAGTTGTGGCCATAGATGTGGCCAGATTTCTTCAGACATCTGAAGCTACGCAGGGCAGGGCCTGGTTAGAACTGTGATGGGAGACCTCTGGAACACCAGGTGCTACAGTGGGGCGGCTGCGGCTGCAAAGTGCCAAACCGTCGTTGTGTCCTTAGTCAAGACACTTCACCCAAATTGCCTAAAATTTGGTGTGTGTGTGTGTGTGTGAATGGCTGGTGGTGTTCAAAGGGACCAATGGCACATATCGGTTGTAGTAGTAATTTATCAGCACCGTGAATGGAATGAAAAAACAATGTCATGTGAAACGTGTTTGAATATCCTGAAAAGCGCTATATAAAACCTATTTATTATTATTAATTTCTGATTTTGACTATAAATCTTACATGGTGCGATGTAAAACTGTTTGACTGGAAAAACGGAAAACATTTACTTGTATTCCTTCTTTTGTTCCTGAGCTTGGACACATCTGAAAACAACTCCAGGTCTGTTTTCGATTGAACAATGTCGTAATGTCGTGATGAATCACCTACAGAGTGCTTCACAGTATGGTTCAACTTTATGTTTCCATTCAGAGCCTGTGACGCATTCCTCCAAAGGCTGAAGTAAAACATTAGTGCACTTCCACAACTGAATCTTTAGGGATTGGCTCATGACTGTTATTGTTCAGCCAAACCCTGTATTTGCTAAATCACCGTCTTCTCACATCTCTGAAGCCAGCAGGGCTGCTCCCAAAACCAAACTAACACATTATAGGATCATATCTGGCATTTATCAACATCTGTGTTTTGATGAGGAATTCCTCTGTGCACATCTTGCTCTGTGCAGATATTGTTTCCACTTATAATTAGAGTAAATTAGTCATCAGAAGCCAGAACTACAGGGCCTTAGCTTCTTAAAGAGTCCAGAGTTTATGTATACTCAAAAGTTTTCATTTTGTTTCATTAAGTTATTATTTCACATTCTTAAAAGAAGGAAAACCGTTATTTTCAAGATCATAGGGCAAAATGAATGATGATGGATTGGTTTTATATAACGCTTTTCAGAAGACTCAAAGACGCTTAACGTGTCATTATTCTTTCACTCCATACACAGTGGGGATAAACTACTAATGCAGCCACAGCTGCCCTGGGGCGCACTGACAGAAGCAAGGCAACCAGTATGTGCCATTGGCCCCTCCAACCAATGATTCAATTCACTTTATTCTTGTATGGCCCTAAATCATAACAGCAGTCATCTCATAGGACTTAACAGAACCGTTGAAATCACCGACACAGATCAGAGAATCAACAGTTAAAACACAAAAACTATAGAACACATATTTATTAGTCCATATGATGAGACCAATGTCCATGAATGTTGATAAATGGCATACATGTTGTAGAATGTTAAAGTGTCCTGGATCATCACCACAGTCCTTGTTAGTCACTAACTGTCCAACAGACCCTCCTGCATCGGCAAGGAAAAACTCTAAAACTGGGTGGGAGAAAAGTGGGAAACCTCGGGGAGGTCCACATTGAGAGAGAGATCCGCTCTACACGGACGGACGGGCTACAGATCCAGGCCTTAAGCTACAGATCGAGGACCAGGGCCACACAGCGGTTGTAGAACGTGGACATGTCTGGTTCAGGACTGAACTGGATTTAGCTTGCAAGTATGGCCAGTGCCAGTAGTTTACCAGCAGCTGAACACATTACATAACTCCTTGGACTCGTTGCACATCCTTGACTGCCTCATATAAATTTCACACAAACTATTTCAGTGTTTTTATCAGCGCACATTCCATTGTCAGCAAACATTCCAGATAAAAGCGTAGATATGCACTTGTCATAAGCACGGTACATACAGTCCAGGTCGGCAGTAGTTTACTTTGTGATAAAAGAGCTTGCATATTGCCTCACACTTGGGCAGGGCGATTGTTTCCGAATAAAAGATTTGTGTTATGTGTATGACCGGCCGCCTTTTACACAGAACTGACCACACAGGGTTTTCTGTTTGAGAACCATGAACATAAGCTCCACAATAAATAACTGCTAATAAACAAGTGCTAATAAATCAATGCTAATAAATGTTTGGATGTGGTGTTTATCATGAAAACTTTAAAACAAAAGCCAAAAATACATAAAAATACAAGTAAGATATAAATCCATATTAAAACTAGCTAACATCTCAAGATGAACAATTGGTGTATTCATTTTCATTTTATTTTTTATTTTTTGCTGTGAATCCTGCTTATAGTGTTTTTCCTATAATTATTTTATAGGTCAATATTGTCAATTATTATTAGGGCGACAGTAGCTCAGTTGGTAGAGCATTGGCCTTAAGGCCAGGAGGTGCTTATTTAGTTGTATTTTTTTTGTTTATCTGACAGGGACAGTGTACTTTAATAATCATTACTTTAAATCCCAAATGATGTCCCAATGTGAGTGCGAGACTGGTGAATCTTTATATCACAAATTCAGAAAAGAAAATTTCCAAATAAACTATGTAAACCCTTGGGGAAGGGGCTAGGTATCGGTAGTCAGAGGACTGAGGGGAGAGCGATGGTTGCAGGATGGTTGAATCGTGCTAAAAACAGCCATGTGTTTAAATACTAAAGGAAAACCACCATGTATTACACAAACAAAAGCTGAGACATTTTTTTTTAAACATTAAGTAGTTGAAGACACATATTTGGATCTGTTCAATATGGTACAGTCTGAGGATCCACCGTAGCATAACGAGTTTGAGAATTATATCGAAAGAACAAGGGGATGCCAATATATATTTTCCCATTCGGACTTCCAAGTGCTGTTTAAAAAAAAATCATATTTCTTCACACATTATCTCCCCATGTTGATCATTGTAGTCCATGTTGCCATTCTTCAGGACTATCGGACCTAGATAAGCTCACAGTAGATAAACACAGTAGTGTCTTTGTTGCGGGGGCGGTGGGTCGCTCTGCTCCAATCAGCTGGGAGGGGTGGGGGTCTGATGTAATCCATTTTAAACTGTTAGAAAACAATCTGCCACAAACATTCACACTGTATCATGAGGCCAATTTCAATATCACAGCAATCATTTAAAAATATTCTGAAATTGTTTAACATGTATAAATAAATATTGTTGGCCATATTAAGAAAAATATGCTGGTACTTTTTAAATGACATAAACTTTCAAAAATGCTTAATTTTGTCCTGAAAATATGGATGTACTTTTTTTATTGGTAACTGTACTTTTACCAAAATTTCCAAACTATTAGTTGCTACTTTTATGGCAATATGGCTAATATGTGTAATTTTCATATGGTATAGAGTTATCAGAGCAAATTTTATGGACTCATTATTATGACTACATCAAGTTTAAGTAGCTAGAGGACACTTGTTTATTTATCAAACTAGACTGGTGAATGAGTGCAGGCTAACGGTTAAGCCTCACCAATAAACCATGTTGTAGCCAGTGAAACCAGTAATCTTTTGATACATTTCCACATGAAAACCTGAGGCTTATATTCAAGTGCGGACTATATACTGACAAAATGTTGCTTTTCAAATGTTGCTTGTGCGACTTATACTGTATACAGGAGTTTGGATAACATTTCTAGTATAGCATAATGAGGTGAGTAACTGTTTGGATGTAATCAAACATGATCTACACTTATTTTTGAAGACTGATTGGCCAATGATTACGCTTTTTAATGACTATTTTTAAGTGCATTTAGATTCAAACTCTAGAATTGATTGCCTGACATACAGTACTTACTAACTAACTAAATTGTGTTGACGCCTGCGAGCTAAGGGGTTAGCAATGTCCATCTATTGACAATCTATGGTGAATATCTGATTTTCGATACTTCTGGCCCTTTTCAACTCTACTTCAACTAGACTTTATTGTTCCATTGGGAGACGGATCGATTCTCCTCAATTTGGCTCTGTGTGGCTAAAGCCGGAGAGGAAAATAGACTAAAACAAAAGTAAAATAAAGTTCTAGTTGATCTTGTCTCCTTCCCTCCCACACTCTCATTGTCATTCCACTGCAGTGAGTCTCATGATCAGCAGTATTGATCACACCCTGAGCCGGAGCAACAATGACCACACTTCCCGGACAGACATGGAAATATGTGTTCAGAGAGGGTGTTGTAAAACCTGAGGCAGGCCGATGTACCAATATTTAGAGATTTCCTTTATTTCATTTATCTTGAAAATTCTCATGGACCTGACCCGTTTAACAGCGTTATACATTTAAACAGAGAAATTCCTCTCTTCCTTTGTAAAAAAGTCACATTTCTGAGATTTTGTTTGCAAAGAAGTATTATTCTAAAGGTTTTTATTAATGGCTAATATTTGTATTATGGCAAAGTTATTGGCCAATACTAATTACTGATGCTAAGATTTGTACCTGCATTTCAACATATAGCATATAATAATAATGCATTGGTGTTATCCAGCACTTTTTAGGACACTCAAAGACGCTTCACATGACATTATTCTTTCACTCCATACACCGTGGTGATAAAGTACTATTGTAGCCACAGCTAACCTGGGGCACACTGACAGAAGTGAGGCAACCAATGTATGTCAATAGCCCCTGCAAGCACCAACCATTTACACAAACACCAGGCTCTTTCTGCGATGTGGATGAAGTGTCTTGCCTATGGACACAGTGACAGTTTGGCACTTTACAGCCGCATTTGCCCCACTGTTGTACCTAGTGATTGTAGAGGTCTCCCATCACAATACTAACCAAGCCCTACCCTGCTTAGCTTCAGAAGGGTGACAGGGTCTGGCTTTCACATGCAGGTATGGCCACAAATAATGCATGATAAGTCCTCTATGAGTAAAAACATGGTAAAATATGGTAGCTAGGGGATTAGCATATTTCAAAGCAATGTAAACAACTTTATAGACATCTCCAGAAACAAACACTTACAAACACGGCCACAGTTGTACAGAACAATCACACATTCTTTCATCAAAATTTGATTTATATCCTTCTAATTCTGTAGGTGGAATGGTGCAGTAAAAGTGACACTGAGCATACATGGACCGAGCCCAAAGTGAAAAGTACACTGTCGTCTGTCCAGAGGAGAAGCCAGAGCTGCTTTCACTGACACTCTATCTGCCCCTGAACACAACACGACTCGAGCTGAGGAAACCACACAATCCAAATTACTATACATGACAGTATAACATCAAACTCGTACTCAAACTACATATACTACATACTACTACGTACTGCATGGCTTGTATTCAAGTGTGGCCTATTTGTGGACAAAATGTAATTTATTTTCTAATGTTGCTGGTGCGGCTTATATACAGCAGTTTGTATGATTTTTTGGGGTAGATTTTCCTGAACATAATTATTTGGTTCAGTTACTGTTTGGATGTACCCAAACATGGATTAAAGGTACCACACACTTGTTATTGTAGACTGATAAGCCAAACATTTTGTACTTAACTTTTTGTAGTTGGATTTTGGACTCAAACTTTAGAATAGATTGAACGACATGGTTGCTTTCTCGAGGAAAAACTAGCTTTAAATTGTGTTTGATACCTATGAGCGAGCGAGTTAGCAATGTCCATCTGTTCACAATCTATGGTAAATAACTGATTTCCAATAATTGTTTTGACCCTTTTCAGCCCTACTCATACTCAAACTACATGTACTACATACTACTACATGACTACATACTCCTACTCACTGTACTCAAACTATATGGCATTTCTAAATGACATTATGACACTACTGAGTCTGTGACTGAATGGAAAAAAGGCAGCTGAGTCCTTTCACAGACAACTGGTGACTTCTGATAATCCACAGGAGAAATATGAGCGCAACGGGGCCCTCTGCTGGTTTTACTGGGTTCTACAGAAGAACCCTATTCGCTCTTGACTTGGCTCCTTTTTTAATGAGCGTGTTTTTAACCATGTTACAACATTGTTTCTTATCAATCACAGGGCTGGAGTTATTTTTAGATCCATCCACGCTATGGAGAGGATCTTCTGTCTCTGTCCTGTAATACTATGCTGTCATTGTACCATTATGACATCACTCTCTTTACAATCACCATTATCTTTCACAATTTTGAAAAAGACAGCGCCCAACTCTCCCTCTGGTGGTAGCAAAGAGAGTTACAGGCTAGTTGCATTTTTTATTAATTCAAATATTATTTCACATTCTCAAAGTCCTCTACTTGAACACAGTACCTGTTGCCATGGCTTCCATTTGACTATATATTTCCTCATGTATGGCTGTTGACACGGCTGCTGTTTGCAGATTGGTTTACTTTCATTTTCAAGTTGGCAGAATATTAGAAAATCAACCAATGCCTTTATATTTTACTGAATTGTAACATTAGGCAAAAATATTGTTCCAACTGTATCCAAATAGAAGTGTCAGGTATGTATCGTATCAGCAAACTCTGAAAGTAGTTTTGTAGTGGTTTTTTTGAGCACTATTCTGTGCCGTCCCCAATCTGTAAACGGATTAAGATTTTCACATACATTCCTGATTTTTACCAACACCATCATCATCATCATCATCACAAAAAACAGCTATAGCTATCAATTTATGTTCCATATTTCACTGCAAAAATAAATGTATACACTGTAAAAAGTGTTGCTCTAATCAGAAACAAAAAAAATACCGTGATAGGTTCCATCGGCCTCTTTGAGTACTATCAACTTCAGCTCTTTGTTGAGTAATAAAGAATAATAAATTCAATTCGACAGAATGCAAATCTATTACTTTGAAGTGATCAATTTACTTAATATTCTTGTGTCCATTCAAAGCAAAACTAACTTGGAGTCAATTCATTTACTTAACATCTGTGTGTCTTTTCAAAGCAATACCATAACTCCTAGGTGATCAATTTACTTAATATTTTTGTGTTCATTCAAAGTAACTTTAACTTCCACCTGGAGGAAACTCAGATCTTTTAATCACTAGGTTTCTCACTGCCTTCTTCTAATCCCACAGCATGTTTGTCTTTTTTTAATTTCTTTTCTTATAATACTATGACGTGTGGTGGTCGAGGGTTGGAGTCAGCCCAACAGTTGTGTTTGTCTGGAAACTATTCTGTGTACTGAGCTCTATAATTGGTTCTGTTATGTACCTCTGTGGACCTGATGATGGACGGCCTGGGGATCTGCGGGTAGCTCGGTTCTTCATCGGAGTGTTGCTCTGACTCTTCTTCCTCTGAGTGCACTGACAGAGACACGGACCACTCCGACTCTGCGTCATGGTTTGGTTCCGAGAGGCGGCCTTCCTGGACCTGTCCGTTCCCATTGCAGTCGGTCCCATTGCGGGGCTCCTGGTGCTTTGGGGACTCCACGGGTTTGGGTTGGGAGACGATTGCAGGTTCTGTGGGTTCAGCTGGAGAGTCTGGGACAGTAGCGTCAGGTTGTTCTTCCACACTGGGGTCATCAAAACAGCTGCCCAGAGAGGCACAGGGGAGGCCGTGCATACTGCAGGCTGGGCTCACGCTGGTTTACAGTGAACACAAGTTTGGCACTTGTTAAGTTGGTGTATGAACTTTCCAAATCAAATTGTTTATTGTCTGTTATTGGTCCGTGATTCTCAGTTCCCAAGACAAAAGTCAGAGATACACTCCTCTATACTAATATATCTACCAAAAAGGCCTTTTTAAAATTCAGCTCTCTGGTGAATAAGGTTTTGGATTGTCAATAATTGGGGAACTGTGGGGCATTACTCCACATGGTTTTTATATCCCACTGTTTAAGAATAAAACATTCAGTTGTAAATGACAATGATTGTTCAGTCTGACTTTTTTTATGATGAATTAAAACACTTCAAAATGTGTACCTTGATCTGTTGATTCCAAAATTCATTGGAACGAACCAATTGAAAATCACAAAACCAATAAAAACAATGAAAAATAATTCCAGTGTTTTTAAAAAAAAAAAAAGATGCAACTTAGTCATTTTACAAGTTTTTAGAGTTATCTTCAAAATTAATTCAACAAGATGAGTTGATTAGTCCTGTGTGTCTGTTGCTATATAAAGACCTGGAAAGAAAAGAATACCAAACAACCCAAACTGATACAGTTTTCATCCATAAAATTGGGCCTTCTCACATGTCACGGGGGTCCAGTCCTGTCATCCATGATCCCCTCGTATTCCAAAACGCTTTTACAGTAAAGTCCAATAAAAAGTGAGGTGGTCGGGTTGTTCCCAGGTCATATCTGCCTGAATGACATTTCCCTGTGTCCTGGTTTCCTCTTACGAACCGTCCTACTCTGTTTGGGAGACAGCAGCAGCGTTCCAAGTGTATCTCCGGTTACTCGCTGATCCAGAGTCAGTGCAAGCTCACTCTGCCCTGGCATGGCAGGTGTGATGTGGGGATCGGATGGGCTGGGGTGGGTGGGATGAGGAGGTCTAGTTGCAGGGGTATTGTTGCTTAAAAGGGGAGGGGAAAGAATGAGCGAGCACTGGAGTGTTGCAAGATGCTATAAGGTGTTTTGCAAGTTAAAGCTGGGGTACTTTACTTCAAACTTCAACTGATTCGTTCTACCTCTAGTTTTCTTATTGATGTATTTTTGGTCTTCATCACACCCTTAGATTTTTTTTTGTCAATCTCAGACAGAAGAAAAAAACTTTTATTTTCAAACAATGTTTGTATAATTTTTGTTTTATATAAATTATGAAAAGTATAAGCTTGAAATTAACAAACAAACCATACCCATCCATTTCTTACAAGTATGCAACATCCATCCATCCATCCATTTTCTTCCCCTTAATCCATTTCTGGGTCAGGGGGTGGCAGTCAGAGCTGCACCCAGTACACATAGCACCAGCCCCTCACTGATCCTCCTGCAGGTGGTGAGTCCACAGGAGCTGAGATCTTTCAGTTGGGGCTTTGGGCACAGTAGGGTTAAGTGTCTTGCCCAAGGACACAACGACAGCAGTCATCAGTGGGAGTCATGAAGTAGGTCTTACGGTGGGCTCGAACCCACGACCTTCAGGCCCAAAGGCCAATGCTCTAGTAAGTAAGTAAGTAAGTAAGTAAGCTTTATTTATATACCGCCTTTCACAGACCAGAGTCACAAAGCGGTTTACAATTGTTATTTTTTTTTTGGGCACTTGTCCTCTCACTCCACACAGAGATGGGAGCGGGGTCGCCGAACAGGAGGCGCATGCCAGACCTATTGTACATATTTTTAGTGGTAGGGGAAACCTACGCAGACACGGGGAGAACATGCAAACTCCACTCAGAAAGGCCCTGGTCCGGCCGGGATTCGAACCCAGGACCTTCTTGCTGAGAGGCGAGAGTGCTATCCACTCAGCCACCGTGCTCTACCAACTGAGCTACTGTCGCCCCAGAACATATGTTTTAAAATAAAGTGAAGACAACATGTTGTGGTCTGATATGTTCACACTTGTACTTTTACAAGACTCTTTCTGTTGGGATAAACAACAAATATATTTATGGTAGGAAATGTTAAGCACACCATTTGGGTATGGGTATCTTTTAGAACTGACCAAAGTTTATCTCTTATGATACACATGATACAGTCCAATACAAGGAAAGGCCTTTGTCGCCTTACCGTATAGATGCATCCCATTCATGGAGATTGTAGAACAATCTTCTCAGCCACCTCTGATTATTATTCCTTTTTTAATAATTATATCAAAGCATCAATAAATGAAAATATTGAAAAATAAATACACCAATACGTATCCTTCACACACTCCTTACTTTCTATACAGCAACCCGCCTTTGAAATGTATTCATATAGGACAATTTGTACAAGGCATAATTCAGTGCTTTACAAGTACAGATCAAAAACACTCATCAACATTTGTTTTTACAACAGATCTTTATTCCATAAGTAGTGAGAACTGTACTTCTGTGCATGGAAGACAATTTATCACCCATAATAAAAAAAAATTACACAAATGGTGATCTGTTTCAGAAGAAATTGACAAATTTAATACACATACTTTTTTCTCAGTGTGTACCTGTTTTTGTTGTTATTATGAAAGGGCAGTGCAATCCTCAGATGCAACCAATATATGGCGATGGAAGGAAGAAGAGGGAAAAGTATAGGTATGTGTTAATTAACATAATAACTATGGCTTTTCATTTGGACATCCAGTCCAGCTTTAGCCGAATGCTACTCTAAACATTGCTACCGACTGATGCAATATGCATGAATATCATGGCAAATGTAACATTTGTAAAAACTCAATTGTAAGTTTCGCACGTTATGTAATACTTTGAAAAAGTGTAATTGATCACATAACAATAATTATCATATTGTAATCATAGACTGTATGTATTAAACGGACGTAGTCACGTCTGTCTCCGCTGTTCTAACGAATGGGCCAAAAATTGGGCTCTCATGCATTGATTCAAAATGGCCGCGGGGGCTGGAAAATGTGAAAAAACGTATCTGCGCATGCTTCAGTCGGCACGAGCCCCATTCATTTAAATGAGTAACTTCAAAAATTCACAGCAAGTAAACTAGAGTGGTCCAAAAAAAATTCTCCCCCCTCAGCATTGACACACATGTGGAACGGAGCTTTGGGCCAAGAGCCAACTTTTGGACCATCCTGTAAAGGTGTTTTTGAGAGGTAAGAAGATGCTATGTGTTAGCATTAGCTAATTTTAATTCCGGGTCCACCCCCATCGGCCCGGGGTGGTATTGCAAGCATGTCAGCGCACGTCATTTTGGTCACTTTTGAGCTGGACCCGCCCCCACTGGTTGTAATGCTACAATATGTTTGCGGCCACAACAAACAGCTGCCACAGAGGGGGCCCAAGCCCCGGTGATCCAAGATGGTGCCCTATTCAAATTAATGGCTTGTGCTCAGTAGCGCATGGGACTTCATGGAGACCGGGAGATTAGCTGAACTCGCCTATATTTGGGCATCGTCTGGTCCTCCCGGTTCTGCACAGTGGATTAGCGCCTAACGTGCGTGGCTTTCATTCTCGCGCACAGAGGGGCTCGGCCGCGTTCTGACCAATCAGAGCTGATCATCAGAGCAACGGAAGAGCGGAGCCAGAGCGGGAAGGCAGGGAGCAGGGTTTGTGGCAGTAAAGTGTGGATTTAAAGAAAACCGAAGGATTTAACACTAAAATCTCCACAAAATTCGATCTTTATGAAAGCTGTAGGTTCTCTGTCAGCTGAGGTTGTGCTGTTTTAATATACATTGAGTTCTATGGGACTTTTTTCTGGGTAGCCCTCGTGAATTTACTCTGCAGTACCACGGGCGCCCCCTGTGCCCGTAGGTGGGACAGCTATAAGCTAGTAATACCCTATCCAGTTATTATTATAGATCCATGAGGGGGCCTCGGGCGCATCTGAGATTTTCGGTGTCAGTGATGAAGGCAAATTCAGCACCGTAACACAGTTTAAAGATAGAATCTTGATCCCCGTAAAAATCAGGTGTCCAGCAGCAACAACGCACTCATCCATCAAAACGAAACAGATAAATAGATCATTAAAAATAGCTAGTAATACCCTATTCAGATATTGTAATGGATCCAGAATATAACTACACTGCTGGGAAACATGTTACCTTTTTGCGAACAAATTTCAAGTCACGCGTTTTCCAGCTCCAGGTTGAAAAAATAAACTCCTGCGTCAAATTGTATTTTGAACGACAAAAGCTCTTTTGCGCTTTCTTTCTTTCTTGAATTATATGTGCCTGTAAAAAGATATAAAATACTTTGTAAAACTGCTCAAATAAAAATACTGCTATTACTACTTCTACAACACAGATGAAGTAAACATTGACAACAAGATTAGATAAGCGAAACATACAAAAAACCGAACAGCTCAATAAGTGCATGGGGAAAATAAAACAACATGCTTGGCCCCCACGCTGCTGCTCAACAAACATGCAGATAGCGGCCCCTAGTGGTTTACTCTTCACAGGCATATTATTGTTTTTGACACATTCTAGTGGTCTTATGGTTCTGATCATGTATTTGCTGCAGATGACTCTATGTCCGAGGTCTTATCTCCACACACGTGTCTAAATCACACCATAGCTATACTTACCATTTACAACTGTTTGTTTTGTCCAAATCAAACTCTTCCAGTCCACAACTCAGCAGCTAAAAGTGTCTGTGGTTTACGAGTCATAATGTTAAGCAGTACATCCATACTTGCTTTGATAAGTTAATCCTATTTAATAGCTACTTTTCCCACTGCGGGACGAATAAAAGATCTTTATCTTAATCTGAATGTGTCTCTTGATGGCGTCATTGGAACAGAACAGATAGCAAGTAGTAGTAATCTTTATTTATATGCCGCCTTTTCACTGCACATCGGAGTCTTAAAGCGGTTTACAATTGTTATTTTTTGGAGTGGGGGTGCCAGTACAGGAGGCACATGCCAGACCTATTGTACATATTTTTAGTGGTAGGGGAAACTAGAGCACCCGGAGGAAACCTACATGTAAACTCCACTCAGAAAGGCCCTGGTCCAACCGGGATTCGAACCCAGGACCTTCTTGCTGAGAGGCGAGAGTGCTATCCACTCAGCCACCGTGCCGAGTGGAAGATTGTGGCACTATCCTTGAACAACAACAAGGATAATAATATTAATAACATCAACACTAAAATAGTTATAAAGTGCTTCATGATAACAACAGCTTAAAACGGAAATAATAAAAATAATGGAAATCTTAAAAATAGATATTATTTTACAAACTTTTATCAACAGTCAACCTTTTTTAACCCTAACAGTTCATTCAAAATCTTTAACGAACATGAAAGCAAGGAATAAACAAAAAAAAACCCGACTATTTTGTGAAACAGCCCTGATGTATGTATTTATCAACGTCACCGCCTCTTTGAGATCCGCGTCAAGCATCTACCGACTTCCCAACAACAGAAGGGGAATTTATGACACTGCAGATGAAAAAAAAAACATTATTTCTGCTTTGAATTAACCACACAATTATGATTACGCACACATAATACTATACTGATATAAATGTATTTTATTCAACAGTATTTTCTTGGCAATTTCCCTCATACTTGTAATTTTACGCTGAAAGCAGCTCACGGAAACGCATGTTGGACTGACGCGTCTTGACCGCCTGTGGTTGGAGCGCTCTGGAGGATAATCGGCAGGTGGAAGTGAGAATCATCAGCCCCAGAGGAGGAGCAACGTGTGCGGGCAGCCCTGATCCGACCACCCCCCGGGCCTGCGCCATCGTCTCTCCAAAAGTGTCCGAAGCGTGCGCGTCCTGGTGCCAACATGCGCTCCCTCCTCCTTCTGCTGAGTCCGCTCGCTTGTCTCTGTTATTGGGCCACGGGACAACGCGTGTGCACTGAGGTAAGATGCTATATAGTCAGTGGATCAGCGACACAGAATTAGCCCCGTGGACGCTTGAATTCAAAAGGATCGGACGTAAACATAATTATATAAACAACTGCTTGTATACGTCCATAGTCAGTGCGCGTTTACGGGTTGAATTGTTCAAGGCTTTGGGGATGATGGACGGAGTTGTGTGATAGCTTCTTATCAGTAATCAAAGGGAAATATTTAGCCTGTAGGGAAGGACGGGCTTTGGGTATTTCAAATCAAGTCTAAAGTGGACCTAAATCTGGATTCCTGGACCTAGGAATCATGTTCAGGGTAATACAACATTTAGCTGAAATGTCAAGAATCACTACTTTTATCACACGGTGTCATTCATGTGTCATAGTTATTTTGTCGGGTTGGTCGATCTGGGAACAACAAATTATCACATCCCCTCCTCTCTCTTATGAACCATATCTGAATTTCCACTCAGAAAACGAAAAAATAAATAAAAAACCTCAGTATAACAAGCTTTGATGCTGGGGATGGACATGAGTGGGTAGAGGTGCGAACCCCAGAAGTCCTGTCCTGTGTGCTGTACTTCATTCCATCTTAAGGTCACTATTGGTGTCTGTCGATATGAATGCTTAGTTGAGAATCACAATCTACCAAAATTGAGATCTATTTTTGGCTCAGAGCTCATTTTTAGTCTTATTCCCTGACAAGCTTGATCAAAAAGGCAGTGTGAAGAATGATGTTTATAGACTTTTAAACTTAAGACAGAGTACCGGCCATTCAATCTGAAGAGACCAAAGACACAATTAATACAATAAAATGATTTATTTATTTGGCGCATTGACCCTGGCAGTGACGAGATCGATTGCAGCTGAAGATGATCACAGATCCCCGGGGTCAAGCACTGGTGGTGGCTAGAGTATGGTGTGAATGGGGCGTAGGCGGAGCAGGAGGCAGAGCTGTAGCCAGAGCAGGAGCCAGAGTGGGAGCCTAGAGGAGGTGCTGGGTGTGACTGCCTTTTAAACTGCCGCTTGCTGTAGTAGTAAGTAGTAGTAAGTAAGCTTTATTTATATACCGCCTTTTCACTGCACATCGGAGTCTCAAAGCGGTTTACAATTGTTGGGTGGGGGTGCCAGTACAGGAGGCACATGCCAAACCTATTGTACATATTTTTAGTGGTAGGGGAAACCGGAGCACCCGGAGGAAACCTACGGGGAGAACATGCAAACTCCACTCAGAAAGGCCCTGGTCCAACCGGGATTCGAACCCAAGACCTTCTTGCTGAGAGGCGAGAGTGCTATCCACTCAGCCACCGTGCCACCCACCCGCTGTGAGAGGGTTGTTAGGAGGCTGGCAGAGCTGTGTGATTGGCAGAGGCTTGGAAGGGGGAATTTGCACTCGGTCTTTCAGTCTGAATATGCGCCTCCAGCTTCATATTGGTTTTAGGGGACTTGGTTTTGATTGCTAATTTCCTCAAATTAAGTTCTTGTTAAACTGTGGAAACGGTATAACTCTCCTCGTCCAATTTATTTGATCATGTGGTCATTGAGGTGTAGAAAAACAGTTTGGCCTAACTGGATTGAACAATTTTGACGACAAACCGGATACTCCGGTGTGACGCATATCGGCCACTCATTTTTATCATAATGAGGAACAGTGTTGGTGAAGTTACATAAATAACTTATTTTAAAAAGAAAAAGTTCCTTCACGTAGTTACTCTGTAAAGAAAGTAACTTATTACGATACTCGTTACTTTTACGTTACTGTTATTATGCTCGACTTTGAGCAGGACTAAATTTGTTGTGGAAGTTCTACTACGAAGATCATTACAGATATTTCAGATACAGTGTACATCTTAGGCTTATGTTCCTCCCCTTAGTGTCCTCAAGGTCAAAGTGGTGGGAATACCTCCATCCCTCAAACTTGTCGTCGGTTGCTTTTCGCTCATCTTCATGCCACCACTAGCGCCCGACTCTTGCTGTCACATACAATGTGGAACTAGAAATTGTGCCTGAGTCTTGACTGAGTTCAAAGTTCAAGTGAAGCCAATGGAGAACACCTTTGTTTAACCATATAAGGTTAACAAATTATTCTATTTCAATAATTGATTAGTAGTGATTAATTTCACTTGGTGCATTTAAATGCCCGGCTGAAATCAAAATTAGTGCTGCTGCAAATTCAAGATTGTGCGTATACTGGGAGTACAGAACATGTGAGGGGTCTGAGGTTGTCTGAGAATAGTCTCCTCAAGTATCTGCTGTAATGATGCTCTCTAACTCTCATTCTTAAGTACTATTCTCTAATCTGTACAGTTTTACTTATGTTTTAACAGTCAAATTGTCCAACCACACACATATACCCTAAAGTAATCAAAGTAACAAGATGTTGCATAGGTTTATAGAGTATATGAGATACATCATATGTATAATTACTGTTTCAAAGTTTGAGTGCGAACGTATTGTGACAAAACGCCTGCTCAGCAGGGTGCACGGAGACTGGACCTTAAAGTGGTTAGACCGGTTTAAAACTGCGCTCAATATTTTTTTGTTTTTTTACATGTTTTGTAAACGTAGTCTTATCTAGCAGAATGTAATTTCCAACTGCTACCACTAGAGTTGATGTCAAGAAGTGCTGGCAATTTATAGTAATCTCTCATCTCTTATACATGTTTGTTCCCATATTTTCTTAAGAATTTAACACAATTTCACATTTAGGCATGAGGAAATGCAAAGTCCATATTCTCAAGACCACGTTTAAGGTCAAGAATGAACACAAATGTTGCTGTATTTGTTTCACTTGAGTCCAGCTCTCTGCCGGCTGTTGAACTTCACTCTGGAGGGTCTTATCTGGTTCCTGCTCTGGTCTTTCCTTCCTCTGCTCAGCCTCAGCTCGACACCTCTCAGCCTCTCAGCCTCTCAGCCAAAATAACAGGCCAGGCATCCAGCCCAAGTCACACTGCTGCGGAGCCGACTCTTTGCACCATTCAGTTTTCTTATTGGACGAGTAATCACTTATCCATCTGTAAAGACAAAGATTCATCCAGACCTTTTGAAGTCGCTCTTAAGCTAAGATGGAAATTGTTTATCTACTGCTGTGTCATTTTAGTTTGTTAAGTGTTAGTTGGATAAACAATGGAAATAATCTCAATAAACTGAGATATTATGTAAAACGTGCTGAGAACCTTGATTCATGCAGAATGAATCAACATTTTTTGCAATCACATTTGGCCCCTGCTGCTCTGCTGCTGTTTGAACGCTAAAGTGTTTCTTTTTTATTGCAATGCTACTCTAGTACTGTCGGTCTTTGGTTGTTTAGTCAATTAATCTGTCTATAGTATGCTAGTCAACCAAGAAATATATCAGTTATAGAACAGCCTAGGGCTGCAAAAAATATCGTTGTTGCGATATTGGTGCATGCAATATCCATATTGAAAATATGGGCATTAAAAAGCAAAAAAAAATTTCCTTTATTAAAGACAACAAAACAGATAGACATATCAACATTCAACGAATACAACAAACAAACAAAAAAGTATATAAATATATGCATTTGAATATCATTAATGTTTTTGTCTATTGTGTTTCAATGCGATTTTTAGGAGAAATAAAAAAAATATGGCAATAATATCGTTATCACAATACTACAACAACAAATCTCTTTAAATCACACTTTCTTAGTTCTTTTGCATATTTTAATACTACTTAGTGGATCAAACAGATTTGAGTGCTTTTCTCTTGCCTTCTTTTTATTCAACCAAACCATTTTCACCAGAAATATCTCTGGGCGACCAGGAGTTCTGTTGTTTTCTCTTTTGGATTTATTTGAAAGGAAATCATGAAGGAGGAAGGAAGGAAACGCTGGCTCCACATTAAGAGTCCGCTGAGGTGGTGAGAGTGCCGGGCACCTCCCATAATCTGACCGGCTACAACCACAATATTTATTTTAAAATACACATCTGATCTGATCTGATCTGATCTGATCTGATCTGAAGTGTGAGTGTCAGAATATAGACGGATGTGGCTGGTTAGACAATACCCCAAGGAAGATCCAAGACTCTCTGTAGGGACTGCAGTATGCCTCTCAGTTGGCCTGGGAACAGGGGTGGGATTCTCCCTGATGAGTTTGGCAAAGTGAGTGTGGTGTCTCCCCCGGGTCCCCCGTGACCTGGCAGAAGAATAAAGAATTTAAAGAAGATTTTAGATTGATGGATGAAAGGAAATCTGAACAAAGTCGTTGCACTATTGCGGTACGTTGCTATATTTCTTTTTGATAATTTTACAGAAAAGTTGTTTTTAGATAATTTAATCATCAAATAGACTGAACTATAATTACAACATGGAAGAGGAAAGGTGTGGAAGTTTCCTGTTTGATAAACTGTAAAATGTGTTCCCCTATTTATAACTCCATTTAAAGCAGGGGTGCCCAAACCTTTTGCCTCCAAGGGCCAAAGTAAAAAATTGCCAGTGGGCCGCGGGCCAAATACACCGATATTATGCGTGAAACACAAATAAATGTAAATTTGATCAAGTTCCTTTAATTATTGTTGAATAATGAAATGAATTCATTATTGTCTATCAATGCAAATCACAGCTGAATGAATGAAAACAACACACTCTCAGTGAAGTGGAGGCTCAAGGGAAATATGCTGCTTTAAGGAGACATACGAAAAGATTCAGGTCAGAGAATCAGGGTCCAGAGGAGGAAGATTTCTGTTGTAGCTTATTTACAGGTTATAATCCAATATATATAATCATATAACAGCTATAAATTGGGTCTATAACGCAATATTAAAAAAATACAGCACTTAATTGGTTGTTCCTAAAAAGTTACAGACATGCCCTTTCTGCAGCGCAGATTGTCAGATGCACAATAGACGTCACGTAACTAATAATAAACTAGCAATAGAATGAACTTTGAATTATGAATTAGCAGCAAAACCAAACATTTGACATTAGAATACTTCTTGAAGTAGGTACATCACATCAAAATTGATAAACTGAGTAGAGTCTGTTAAGTATAAACACAGACAAATGGCTAAAGCTGCACATATATATCAACAAATCACACATGGTATTTACTTTCTGGTCATTAACGCACACTGACACAGGCAACAAAATGAATGAATGAAGGCATGCGGCTGCGTGTTGCTCTGGCAATAGCTACGTGCTCAAGTACTGCAATATGCAAAATAAACCTAACACGAGGGGCGCACTTATCTGCTCGGCTTACCCATACACTCCTACAAGGACAAAAGGCATACATAAAACATAAAGGTGCCTTGCACCCAATTGTTTTGATAAGTGTGTTTGATTTAAAAAACATTTTAGTGCAAGTTGATGTGAACCATGAGTGAGGCGTGTATCTCGATACAACAGTAAAGTATTGGAAAACATTAGTTTGGGTGGCGTGAGCGCAACCCCAGACTTCCGTCTGTGTGTCCAGCCAGCCTGAGGGACGCAGATAGAAACCTCCTATATGCATGGAAAATATTCGGCGGGCCAACTGAAATGGTCTGGCGGGCCAACTTTGGCCCGCGGGCCCCACTTTGGGCACCCCTGATTTAAAGTCAACGAGCAGTGATCAATATCTGCTCCGGACCGCTCCATGTCTGGAAACTGTCCAGTCCAGTCTGTCACCTGTCAATCATCCTGGCTACACGAAAAAATGATGATGAACTTCCTGATTATCCCAAATATGATTTTTACTTCCTTTTCCACCTTTCTTCTCAGGAATATACAGCTCTAGTAAATATAACTGTTAGGACATCATCCCACTGTATTCATCTCGGTTCATAACATTTCCCCAGCCTCCTCCCCCTCCTGTCATGGTAACAGCACCATGGAGACAGAATGTGTCTTATCCAACTGCACCGCAGGAGAGGAGTGGTGACCGGCCACTCGTCTCTTCATTATGACAACATTATATCACTATTCCTGTGCTCAATATAACCGTACAGCCAGTTACAGAGAATTAGGAAACATTTTCTTGAGAAAGTTCCTGATATTTGTGCGAATGGAACTAAAAACAACTGACAATATGTTTGTAAAACATGTAACATGATTAATAACAATGACAAGCTCTCATGCCATTTTTTCTTAATATCATCTCCTTTAAACAGGTCTAAATGGGTCTATAGCGGGTCTATAGCAGGTCTAAAGCAGGTCTATAGCGGGAATCTATAGCAGGTCTAAAGCAGGTCTATAGCAGGTCTATAACAGGTCTAAACCAGGTCTATAGCAGGAATCTATAGCAGGTCTATAGCAGGTCTAAAGCAGGTCTATAGCGGGTCTATAGCAGGTCTAATAACAGGTCTAAAAGCAGGTCTATAGCAGGTCTATAGCAGGTCTAAAGCAGGTCTATAGCGGGAATCTATAGCAGGTCTAAAGCAGGTCTATAGCAGGTCTATAACAGGTCTAAAGCAGGTCTATAGCGGGAATCTATAGCAGGTCCATAGCAGGTCTATAGCAGGTCTAAAGCAGGTCTATAGCAGGTCTATAGCAGGTCTTAAAGCAGGTCTAAAGCAGGTCTATAGCAGGTCTATAGCAGGTCTTAAAGCAGGTCTAAAGCAGGTCTAAAGCAGGTCTAAAGCAGGTCTAAATCGGGTCTATAGCGGGAATCTATAGCGGGAATCTATAGCGGGAATCTATAGCAGGTCTAAAGCAGGTCTAAAGCAGGTCTATAGCAGGTCTAAAGCAAGTCTATAGCAGGTCTAAAGCAGGTCTATAGCGGGAATCTATAGCAGGTCTAAAGCAGGTCTATAGCAGGTCTATAGCAGGTCTATAGCAGGTCTATAGCAGGTCTATAGCAGGTCTAAAGCAGGTCTAAAGCAGGTCTATAGCAGGTCTATAGCAGGTCTATAGCAGGTCTATAGCAGGTCTATAGCAGGTCTATCGATAGCAGGTCTATAGCAGGTCTATAGCAGGTCTAAAGCGGGTCTAAAGCGGGCTTAAAGATTGTCTTAACCAACCAAAACAAAGTTTTTACTTGATGTTGCCCAATGTGTAATGTATTTCTTCAATCCAATAATAATCTGAAGGCTGGACTAACAATTCACAGCTGCTCCTCAAACAGCCCATTGTTTATAGACCCTCCTCTCTTTAATTCCCTGGCTGTGTGTCTTTGTATCACCATGACAACCTGTGTGTTTGTGCGCGCAGGTGGACTTCTACTACTCGTACACTGAATGTGACAGTAAAGGCGTACGCTGGAGAGTGGCCATCCCCAAGAGTCCAGACTCTTGCAAGGGCTTGCCCAGTCCTGTCCCAGGGACCGAGTGCAGTAAGTGGCATAGTGTACTCACACATTGCACATGCGTATACACACACGCTCCATGCCTTTACTTTTTTAGTTAGAGGGTCACTTTAGATAAGCAAACTTGTCCAGGTGTAAAAAATCAGGTATGTGAAATGTATTTGACCGGATTCAATCAGGTTTGGGATTTAAAATGAAGAATAACATCTTGTCCATATTGGTTCAGCTCTGTGAATCCATATGGACACAATGTAATTAATATTCAGCTCAGATTGATTCAAATAAATGGCAAATGATTCCTTTCTCACCAGCTACATAATTGCATTTCATGTGACTGTTTGATTCTCCGATCTGGGTGGGCTAATTCAACGGTTTTGTTAAGTCCTTCAAGATGACTACTGTTGTGACTTAGGGCTATACAAGAATAAATTGACCACAGAACGCACTCTGGACATGTCTGCTTTAAAGCTGGGGTTGTAACTCAAAAACGTTAGCAACATTTAACGGTGCAATATACTGTATGTAACTGGTTCCTGGCTCTAAAATGGCTTCTGTTTTCACATGCATGTTTCTTTGCCTCTGTCCCATGTTTGATCTGCCTTTCCGGACAGAAAAGTGTAAACGAGAAGACCACCCTCTCTGAGCCAATCAGCTCTCCAATAGTGACTCGCATTGCTCTTTCTTACAACTTTGCAAAATATCACACCATTTTTGCTTTTAAGATGAAGAGATCATGTTGTGGTCTGATAAGCTAACAATATATTGATTTTCCAAAAAATCTTTCGTGGGGGTGGGGCTTAACTGGAGGCTGAAAACATGAACCACATGGGGTTTTTAATGAACAGCACTTCCTTTTTTACTCTATAGGCGTCTTAGACCTAGGGATGCACTTATGTAATATTGGTACTGGTTATTTGGGCAGATATAGGAATCTGTTTATCCCTATCTGTGTGGCGTTTGAATATTCTCCCCGTGTCTGCTCCAGTTTCCTCCGGGTGCTCCGGTTTACCCTATGGTGACCCCACTCCCATCCCTGTGTGAAGTGAGGGATAAATACCAGAGATGGGGACTCGCGACTCGGACTTCAGTCGCTATTTTTAGAGACTTGCGACTCGACTCGGACTCGTCCCTTAAAGACTCGGACTTGACTCGGACTTGACTCGGACTCGTTGTTTTCGGACTTGCGAGTCCTGACGCTCCAGATCCAACCATTTCACATGCAGGCTGGTAAGGGAGCGCGCTCTTAGGCTGTGTTTGCTCTTTGGCTGTGTTTGCTCTTTGGCTGTGCGCGCTCTCCTGTGCGCGCTGGCCATGCGTGCTCTATGGCGGTGCGCTCTCTTTGGCTGTGCACGCTCCTCGGCTGTGCGCGCTTTTTGGCCGCGATCGCGGGTCTTGACTGTGCGGGAATGCACGCGTTGGCTCATCACTTTGTGTATCAGTTGTGTCTGAGCTGTGAGCCGCTGTCAATGGCAGCGCGCAGCCTGTGGTCATAATGTTCCCGGGACCATACACGCGCACATAGGACCATTCTTTTCTTGTTATTTGTTTGTCTTTATACACCTCCAATACACAGAGCTGGATGATAGAGCCCCCTGACGTTTCCATGTCTCCCCGTGTCTCCTCCTATACTCGAAAATTAGGAAAACTACTTTTCCTTTGGTTCCTTCGAAGCGTGAAGCAGTCTGCTCCATAGGGCCTCGTTCATGTTCCCTGCAGCCGCTCCGGGCTTCAAATTCACACACATGGACCAATCACGGCGGAGCTTCCTTGCGGTGACCCTTACGTAGTTAGAACATTTCGAGGGTGTTGGGGATGAAGGAATCCCATTGGTTTATTTTTATTGGTCCGCTCCAAAATATTTTGTATTAATCTGGTCAATTCCATTACTATTTGAAAACACATGATAACTTGACTACTTTTAGGGTTTAGGGACGTTTTCCCACAATATAAAAAAAAAAATGCATCTGGAAAAAGATCACTGACTGCATCTTTAAGTGGAACAAAATGTAACCGATTTTGTGATAAGTTCATAATTGTAATAGAGCCATGTCTTCTTGAACAAAACAAAACTAGTTCTTTTGTGGTCTCTCATGCACCTCTGCACCCTTTCTTCTTTGGCATTTGCACTTTTCCTTCTTCCTGTTCTAGTGCACAGTTCACCTGGTCTGAGGAGTTTCACACAATGCTCTAGTATGAACTAATAGATTGTTGAAATACAGTGCCTTGCAAAAGTATTCGCCCCCCTTGAACCTTTCAACATTTCGCCATATTTCAGGCTTCAAACACAAAGCTCTAAAAATATTTTTTTTGTCAAGAATCAGCAACAAGTGGGACACAATCGTGAAGTGGAACGAAATTTATTGGATAATTGAAACTTTTTTAACAAATAAAAAACTGAAAAGTGGGGCGTGCCATATTATTCGGCCCCCTAATACTTTGTAGCACCACCTTTTGCTGCAATTACAGCTGCAAGTCGCTTGGGGTCTCTATCAGTTTTGCACATCGAGAGACTGGAATTCTTTCCCATTCTTCCTTGCAAAACAGCTCGAGCTCAGTGAGGTTGGATGGAGAGCGTTTGTGAACAGCAGTCTTCAGCTCTTTCCACAGATTCTCGATTGGATTCAGGTCTGGACTTTGACTTGGCCATTCTAACACCTGGAAACGTCTATTTGTGAACCATTCCATTGTAGATTTGGCTTTATGTTTTGGATCATTGTCCTGTTGGAAGATAAATCTCCGTCCCAGTCTCAGGTCTTTTGCAGACTCCCACAGGTTTTCTTCCAGAAAGGTCCTGTATTTGGCTCCATCCATCTTCCCATCAATTTGAGCCATCTTCCCTGTCCCTGCTGAAGAAAAGCAGGCCCAAACCCTGCCACCACCATGTTTGACAGTGGGGATGGTGTGTTCAGGGTGATGAGCTGTGTTGCTTTTCCCCCAAACATATCGTTTTGCATTGTGGCCAAAAAGTTTGATTTTGGTTTCATCTGACCAGAGCACCTTCTTCCACATGTTTGGTGTGTCTCCCAGGTGGCTTGTGGCAAACTTTAAACGAGACTTTTTATGGATATCTTTGAGAAATGGCTTTCTTCTTGCCACTCTTCCATAAAGGCCAGATTTGTGCTGTGCATGACTGATTGTTGTCCTATGGACAGACTCTCCCACCTCAGCTGTAGTTATCTGCAGTTCATCCAGAGTGATCATGGGCCTCTTGGCTGCATCTCTGATCAGTCTTCTCCTTGTTTGAGATGAAAGTTTGGAGGGACGGCCGGGTCTTGGTAGATTTGCAGTAGTCTGATACTTCTTCCATTTCAATATAATTGCTTGCGCAGTGCTCCTTGAGATGTTTAAAGCTTGGGAAATCTTTTTGTATCCAAATCCGGCTTTAAACTTCTCCACAACAGTATCTCGGACCTGCCTGGTGTGTTCCTTTGTCTTCATGGTTCTCTCTGCTCTTTAAACAGAACCCTGAGACTATCAAAGAGCAGGTGCATTTATACGGAGACTTGATTACACAGAGGTGCATTCTATTTATCATCATCAGTCATTTAGGACAACATTGGATCATTCAAAGATCCTCACTGAACTTCTGGACTGAGTTTGCTGCACTGAAAGTAAAGGGGCCGAATAATATTGCACGCCCCACTTTTTATTTGATAAAAAAGTTTAAATTATCCAATACATTTCGTTCCACTTCACGATTGTGTCCCACTTGTTGTTGATTCATGACAAAAAATAATTTTTTTATATCTTTATGTTTGAAGCCTGAAATGTGGCGTAATGTTGAAAGGTTCAAGGGTGCCGAATACTTTCGCAAGGCACTGTAGTTATCATTGAACACACTTTTTGAGCCTTCCCTAACAATTTTTTTATATTATGAACAATTTATGGCCGTTCAAAATGGTAGTTTAACTATTTAACGAGAAAAAAAATTGTCAGTAGAACATAAAGGGTGAAACAAATGTGAAGGGTAAGACTCATTCTCATTCTCAAGGGTAAAACGCCCCTATGCTACCAACAGGGAACTTTTAAACAGACTTTTTGACAGAAGGGGCGGAGTTTCATGATTGTGCCAGAAGTTCCTGATATTAGCGATCTGACAAGCAACTCCAGGCCTCTGACTGATGAGGAAACAATGGTGTGATTAATGATTATATTATAAAATTGGATAATACAATTGTTCATTTTGTGTCTCCTTTTTAAACATGCTGGGAAGAAGTATTACGACACACATAATTATATAATGACTTCAGAATTGGAAAAAGTATTTCTAATTAAACGACTCCAAGTGTAACATATTCTCCAGGGGCATCACTTGAGCTTTTTTGTCTTTGAATCTTTAGTCTCATGATGGTGAAACACGTCTTTCAACACGTGTGTTTTGTAAGGCATTTCCTCAACAGCCCAGGACGTGTTTCTCGAGTAGTATCTGCATGTGAAAGTCAGATCCCGTCAGAGCTCTGAAGTTAAGCAGGGTAGGGCCTGGTTAATACTGTGTTGGCAGACCTCTGGGAACACCAGGTGCGACAGTGGGGCGGCTGTGGCTGCAAAGTGCCAGTCGATGTGTCCTTAGGCAAGACACTTCAACCACATTTCCTAGAATGAGTCTGGTGTGTGCATCAATGGCTGGTGGTGGTCAGAGATGGCACATACTGGTTGCCTCGCTTGTGTCAGTGTGCCCCAGGGCAGCTGTGGCTACTGTAGTAGTACATCACCGCCGTGTTTGGAGTGAATGTATAATGACATTCAACTCGACTCAAGTTATTCTTGTATAGCCCTAAATCACAACAGTAGTTTTCTCTGAGAACTTTACACAATCCTTGAATTCGCTGATCAGATCAGAAAATCAAACAGTTCAAACAATAGAACAGAAAACGTTGAACATGCTCTTACATGTATTTGCTAAAATCGTAAAACCCTGACATAGTTGCTCACTGGCTACAGTCAACTGCACACATGCTCACTGAGGAAAAGGGGACGTGTGATTGGTGCTGAACCCAATGCTTGACAGTAAGGTGCATTAATTGTGGGCATACTCGGTACATTTTGAAATTTTACAAACATCTCACTAAAAATACATGGTTATAATATAATTCGGAATTAAAATAGTCATGGCGTAATTGTAGACATAATTATAAATTCAGTAAAAATGGTGTATCAGTGTCAGAATGGATACCAGTATTGAATCGTTTTGGGAATGGCACGTATTGTGGATCAATGCAGTGTTTTACTCATCCATCCAAATCTATACATGTTTTATTTTAGACTAAGACATTAGTTCACGTGTCATGGGCAACACGGTGGTGCAGTGGTTCGAGTTGTTTTGCCTCAGCCAAAAGGTCCTGGTTCCACTCCCTGGCTGCAGAGGGGCTTTCTGAGTGGAGTTTGCATCTTCTCCCCGTGTTTCCTCCATCACTAAAAACATGTGCATTGGGCCCACAGAGAGCTGTATATCTCTTTACTTCAAAATGTTCAGTGACTTTAATTATTGTTCTCCTCTGGTGTGATTAGAATGTACTTGTTTACTACTGAAAACATAACAAAAGCCATTATTTTTATTGAATTGTGACGCGTTTCCCCTGGCATTGTCCTGAAAACCTCTTGGTCGCTGCCTCCTCATGTGTCAACAGAGCCCTTTAGAATGTTCTGACATCATGAGTGTAAACAACTTGTGCAATAAAACCTCCTCAGACTGAGACGACTCCAGGGTGCAGCAGTCGGACGACATGGAGAAAATATTCAGTAATGATTGTTTGTTTTGGAACTTAACACAGGGGTTTTTACCATAACTAATACATACAAGTCCGACCACAACTTTCTGTCTTCATCTTATCAGAAAACATACTTGTATGACAGTTACTATTTGACTCTTTTTTTCCTCAAAGCTGATTGGCTGAGTGAGAGTGGTCCCCTTTTTTGTGTGTAATTTTTCTAGCCAAATTACATTCTTTTCAATTGACTTAGATCACACTATGTTTAATGTTTAATTCTACTTGTACTACGAGATGTGGTGTGTTTTTTTCCATGATATTAATATATGTGTGTGTGTGTGTGTGTGTGTGTGTGTGTGTGTGTGTGTGTGTGCATGTAGCCTTCTCGTGCCAGGCGGGGCAGTTCCTGGAGATGTCTGCTCAGGAGTGTACCCCCTGTGCTGCTGGGAGCTACTCTCTGGGCAGTGGAGTGCGCTTCGAGCAGTGGGATAGTCTGCCTGAGGGCTTCAGCAGCGTGGCCTCCTCCACTGGGGACGGGAGTCAGGCCAGCATGGAGGCCCTCAGCTGTAACAGGTGCTATGCATGTGTTAGAACTAGTTTAAAACAACAAACTACTGTAACAGGTGCTATACATGTGTTAGAACTAGTTTAAAACAACAAACTAATGTAACAAGTGCCGGATGTAGAGCTAGTTTTAAAACAAAAATCTTAATTTTGGGTTTAAAACTCGTTATAACAACCAGAGCTGTTGTAAAGTAGTAAAAGTAGGGGTGTGACGATAAATCAATATATTGCGATACTTTCTCTCGCGATTCCATTATTGATATGCATTTGCCAAGTATGCATTTGCCAAAAATAAAAAAAAAGATTTTTTTTTTTTTTTTACAAATATGGCTACATTACGCATCTTCATTCCATTTATCATGAAATAAAGTGTTTTTTTTCTTTTATTTATGCCATAAATTGGCATATGGTATATTTCTGACCAATATAACAATAATTGTCATGTCGTGATAATATCGTTATCGTAATAATATCGTTATCGTGATAATATTGTTATCGTGAGCTTTGTATCGTGTATCGTATCGTATCGTGAGGTACCCTTAGGTTCCCACCCCTAAGTAAAAGGCAGAAAAGGGCGTGTTCCTCAGATCTCAGGTCCTCTCTGAAGGTGGTGGGTGAGTTGTAGATTACAAGTGGACAGATTAAAAATACCTTTTACTGACACACTCTTAAGTGAAAAAGGCACTATAGCTTTTATGCCCAAATGATCAAGGTGCATGCTGCAGCTCTTTCTGTCGCATTGACGACCTTCTGCTGTAATAAAGGGTTTTCCGAGCACCCAGTTTATTAAAATGATATTTAGACCACAAGATAATAAATGTAGATCAATCCTTTCTAAAGATCCCAGTCTTCAAGTCCAGTTTGATTTGACAACATGACAATTTACTGAAAATGTAGTCCACAAAAAAATGTCCTCACATATCTTAATGACAAACTTAACAAACCCCAGAGTTCTGGAGATAACATAATAAAGGGACTTGACATAATACTGTTAATGAGAACAAAAATATGAGACTTTGACCTAATTTTTTCTAAACACATCATGTGCTTCAGTTCATATACTGTACACGCTGTAATTGTAGCTCTCTGCTCTTTGAGGCTATGGCTTGTCACTCGGATGGAGATCCATTTGCAGTAAAACCACATCGCAAAAGTCCTCAGTGTTCACCAGACAAGTACACAAATGAAACAAGGTTAAACGTATGTAAATAAAATAAACTAAAAAATAGCAGGAAACAATTGACACTGTGAAAGGAGGGAACTTCACAAGAAGGAAAAACCTAGAATATGATAGATACCATTTTATCAATAACATCCATCTCTCGATCCACCCAGAGGAGAGAACACCTGGGCAGAGATCTCCCACCTATGAGACCTTCATTATTCATCATGTTAACAACTATTGTATATAATTTACTGATACAATTGTGCACTGATAAATTTAAAGATTGCATTTAGAATCCCATAAAGAAACCAAAGGCAGGTCAATATTATTCAATATTAAATGTCCAAAAAAGTAGCTCTTTGTGGGAAAATATTGGAGACCCCTGCTCGGGGCAATACATACTAACTAAAAACTATCCCCAAAATAACACGGTGTGAACAGCAACTTTTTGATAGTAAGTCATTTAGTGAGTAAGAAGTTATTTCATTTAAAAGCTTTTTACAATTGCTGTGGAGTAACTGATACTTAAAGTGATTGTCTGGAGTTTGTCAGAAAGAGAGACAGAGAGGTACTTGATTTGAAAAAAAATGACGCAAGCTCCCTCCCCCTTCCTTTCTGATTGGTCTACACCTACATTTCTGTAACACTTTTAAATGTTAATCAGAGAACATAATATACATGTACATTATTAATACACATGCACGGAGGTTTTCTAAATTATTTGTTAACGTTTTAATGAAAAAAATAATGTTTTTATGCACAAAAAAAGCGATCGCGGCAAACCAGGAAGTGCTATTATCATGAGCTGCACATTATAGGACACATCTGCAGAGGATCTGATTATGGATATAGGTTCAGTATATAAATGAGTACCTCAGCGCGGATGAATTCTGTGTTCAGTTTTCATGTAGTTCCAGAGCCTTATAGAGGCTTGATTCGGAGGCTCCGCAAAAACAAACAACTGAGCATGCGCGCAGCTGCGAGCATCAGCACCGATGATTGACAGCCCTTGGCATGACTCGATTGGTTAACTTCGACGGTATTGTGGATTCTGAACTATAGCTAAGAGAAGGGAAGGCGGGACTTACCCCTAATATTAGAATGAATAAAATTACTTATTTTATATCAACATTTAAGGCCAGGAGGTCAATTTAACACATTTCCTAAAATTCGTAATTCATTTAGAGTTACAGACTATCACTTTAAAGATCCAATTCCGTGTATTTTGTGTCTTAAGATGTTTTATGCCCTCTGCTGGTCATATTAAGCTGTAAAGCATTTTTTTTTTGAATTCCCGTTATAACATTCTGAATGTTTATGCCCTCCCCTAATGATTAAATAGAGCAACATGTGTGTAATCTACTCTATGGTAGTGGCAGCATCATGTAATGGAGCTGCTTTTTGTCAACAGGGACAGGGAAGAGTTGATACAGGACTATAAGGGACAAAAAACTAGAGATTCCACATGGTATTAACTGTATGATTAAATTTGCAATCACAACTTTTCAGTTTTATTTTAAATTAACTAAATAATTACATAATGATGGCTCCCTGTCTCACACAGAATCAATTTTAAAATTCTGGTGTTGACATTGAGGGCTCTTCATGGTCAGGCGCCTGAATACATCCAGGGCCTCATCCATCCCTATGTCTCGCCTCACTGTTCATAGGCCGCTGTGAACTATGTAAACTGTATTTTTATGTGTTTTTGTTTTTAAATCTGACTTGTTTGTGTATTTTATGTGTTTTAATCTGTGAAGCTCTTTGTGACCCTGGTCTGTGAAATGCGCTATACAAGTAAACTTTACTTACTTGCTTACTTATTTTCACTTTATTGTGGTCTTTCAGTAAATTATTACACATTTAAACAATATCTTGTAACATGACAACATTTCAAACTGTATTGACATGCACAATACAAGGCACTGTACATAAAAATCCTGCATGTTTTGCTGACATGTTTCCATGTGCCGTCTGTGCTCGTGTTCTGGTGTGCAGCTCGGCCTGGGTGCCTAAAGGCTCCTATCTGGAGTCCAACCGGGACGAGTGCACCGTGAGCCTGATCTACGCCGTGCACCTGAAGAAGCAGGGCTCCGTCAGCTTCCAGTACCAGTACCCTGACCGCAACCTACTCTTCGAGTTCTTTGTAAGTCCTCTTTATTGTCAATATAATATAGTATAGTATTTTGTTTTTAAATCCCCAAATTTCAAAAGCTTTAAGACGCAACAGATATTTATTTTTTATTCATTTTTCCATCTATATATTATCTCTACATTTGTGAAACAAGAACACACAGGAACAGAAGGAAGACACAAACTTTTATAAATCCTTTGCCTCGTTTTGCTGGTGGCAAATACATTTAATACATATTTATAATGCATGGCCTCATGCCTTGTGTTTACTCATTTTGACTTTGCATTTGATCTATGCTTTTAACATGATGACAATGAATTAATTTATTGATTAATGTACTGTATTAATTCATGTATTTTTTATGTTTATTTTTTTGTAATACACTCATCTTAACTGTAGTAAGTAAGTAAGTAAGTAAGCTTTATTTATATACCGCCTTTCACAGACCAGAGTCACAAAGCGGTTTACAATTGTTATTTTTTGGGCACTCACTCCACACAGAGATGGGAGCAGGGTCGCCGAACAGGAGGCGCATGCCAGACCTATTGTACATATTTTTAGTGGTAGGGGAAACCGGAGTACCCGGAGGAAACCTACGCAGACACGGGGAGAACATGCAAACTCCACTCAGAAAGGCCCTGGTCCGGCCGGGATTCGAACCCAGGACCTTCTTGCTGAGAGGCAAGAGTGCTATCCACTCAGCCACCAGGAAGATTAGCAACCACATTGGTGGAAGTTAATGGGGATCTCCAATAAACAAACAATAAACCCCCAACATTATCCTTCACCCTAGCTACTAAATTAGCATGTAGCTAGTTATCTAGATAACTAGCTACATGCTAACTACCGTCCTCTGTGCAGTGGTTTTAGCCATAATATACGCGATTAAACTGAACAATGTTGCTTTTATTTTAGATTCAGAACGACCAGTGTCAGGAGATGGACCAGGCGGCTGACACCAAGTACCTGACGCTCAGCAGCCATGGGGAGTGGGCCTCTCACACGGTAAGGCCCCGGCAAATAAACTCTCTGCGTCTGTCAGCTGCAGCAGGAAGGGGAAGTGTGGAGCTCACGGTAGTAGTGTAATGTCGGGGGAAATACTGGCCAAATATGGGCTATTGTAAAATGTGTTGGCTTATATTTATGATTGAGGATACTGGAAAAACTGCATAGGAGTCCGCAAAACATATGGGAGATTCATGGTTTTGACAAAAAAAAACATATTGTACATATTCTACATATTGCTAAACTATTCCGGCCCTTAAAGCTGGGGCACCAAACTTTAAACCCATAAAAATGCAATTATGTCATGAAATCCATGTCACCAGATTGTCGCTGTATTGCATGTTTTTTTGGCTGTCACATCTTTATATCAGCATTTTCAGACAGAAAAGTGAAAAACAGAGAACCATCCTCACTCAGCCAATTATCTCTCTCCCAAATCGTCAATAGTGACTCACAGGGCTCTCTCTTACAGGTATGCCAAAGATAAAAAGCTTTCTAATGAGACGGAGACCGCATTTGGGGGTCTGATTTGTTCACAACATTTTACTCTTTCTGTTGAGACACAGAAAATGCACAATTCATAATGAAATGTTGTTCGTATAAGTATATAAAAGCCAGATCCTGTAAGACCACTAAAGTTAATCTGGGCAGGGCCTGGTTAATACTGTGATGGGAGACCTCTGGAAATACCAGGCTGCACAGTGGGTCGGGTGTAAAAGTATGAAATTGTTGTTGTGTCCTTAGGCAAGACACTTCAGGCACATTGCCTAGAATGAGACTGGTGTGTGCGTGACTGGTATGTAGAGGTCGGATTGGCACCTACTGGTTCTACAATAGTCGCTCATCATGAAGTGAATGAAAAACCGTTTTAGAGTGTCCCAAAACGCGCTTTATAAAACAGATTTACTAACCGTATCATTTTATATATGTGCAGAACTTGGCAGCTCCATAAAGCAGATTTTTCAGTATCTAGCCAGAACCATAATACACACAAAAAATCCAATGTTGTTTACCATGTGCTAGGTGAACCTGAAGTCTGGCACTAACATCCTGTACTGGAGGACCGGAGGAGTGGTCATGGGCAGTAAGGTGGTCAAACCAGTGCTGCTCAAGAACATCCACATAGAAGGTCAGTGTGCTCCTCCTCCACAGACCTCTCATCACACACGGACACTGTATTAACATGGTAACAATAATAACATGATACCATACCATTAGATCGTCTCAAATCCTAAATGTTGGACTGTTGGCTTTTGTTGGACATTTTTGATTGCATGAATATTTTAATGGATTTCATGTGATTTTATTGTAAAGCTCGTTGGTCGCCATGAGTGTTGTTAAGGGCTCTATAGATAAGATTTGATTGATTTTGTTTTCATATATTGTTTCTCCAATGGTCATAATGCACTTTGAGTTGCTTTGTGTATGTGCTATACAAGTAAACTTGACATAATAACGGTCAAGAAACTTTTTAATGGATTCAGATCAGCTCAGAGCAATACATAGAGTTGATATAATTAACAATACATAAATGTTGAAGTGCTATATTGAGCTCAAAAGGAGTTGGCAGAATTAACAAACATTTATAATCGTCTACCCCTTCATTGCAGAATTAGATGAAATGTATGTTGCCAGCGTGTAGTTAATAGAACAGTAACAGAACAATACAGAAGTACTACAGTAATACATAATAATACAGTAATACATAAAGTAATACATAGAGTAATACATACATTTCAGTATTGATGTTTGACCTGTATATAAACGGCACCAGCTAGATAAAAAGTACATTTGGTCCACATATAAGCTGCACTTGAATTTAAGCCTCAGACTGTTTTAACTGGTCACATGACTTGATGGGCGGCACGCTAAACTAAAATGAACTCTTTAGCATAGAACTCTTTAGCATAGAACTCTCTTTAGCATTATAAATAAGCAAGTATAAAATCTATAGCTCTAGCATAATAATGATAATTGATAACGTGTGCTCTTCATTCATACTGTTCTGTAACTAGTGATGCAACACTGAAATGAAAAATAAAAATGTAAGGCCCTGAAAAAAGGCGTGACCCTCTGCCCCAGTCTGCATCTCGTCTGTCCTCGTTCTGTAGCCCGAGTCCTATCAATGTTGGTGAATTCACTGCACAAGAATACATTGAATTAGATTGCCCCTGTGCCGTCAGGAGTGGCCTACACCTCCCAGTGCTTCCTGTGTCGAGCCGGCACTTTCAGCCGGGCTCCGGGCTCGTCTGCGTGTGAGGCCTGCCCTCAGGACACTTTCTCTGGGCGCGGGGCGAGCTCCTGCACCCCCTGCAACAGATCTACACACTACGCAGGTACAAAAGCTCCTCAAACTCACTACACATGTACAAAAGCTCCTCAAACTCACTACGCAGGTACAAAAGCTCCTCAAACTCACTACACATGTACAAAAGCTCCTCAAACTCACTACGCAGGTACAAAAGCTCCTCAAACTCACTACGCAGGTACAAAAGCTCCTCGAACTCACTACGCAGGTACAAAAGCTCCTCAAACGCACTACACATGTACAAAAGCTCCTAAAACTCACTACGCAGGTACAAAAGCTCCTCAAACTCACTACGCAGGTACAAAAGCTCCTCAAACTCACTACGCAGGTACAAAAGCTCCTCAAACTCACTACGCAGGTACAAAAGCTCCTCAAACTCACTACGCAGGTACAAAAGCTCCTCAAACTCACTACGCAGGTACAAAAAGCTCCTCGAACTCACTACGCAGGTACAAAAGCTCCTCAAACGCACTACACATGTACAAAAGCTCCTCAAACTCACTACGCAGGTACAAAAGCTCCTCAAACGCACTACACATGTACAAAAGCTCCTAAAACTCACTACGCAGGTACAAAAGCTCCTCAAACTCACTACGCAGGTACAAAAGCTCCTCAAACTCACTACGCAGGTACAAAAGCTCCTCAAACTCACTACGCAGGTACAAAAGCTCCTCAAACGCACTACACATGTACAAAAGCTCCTCAAACTCACTACGCAGGTACAAAAGCTCCTCAAACTCACTACGCAGGTACAAAAGCTCCTCAAACGCACTACGCAGGTACAAAAGCTCATGGAAGTACTTACAAATGACAGAAAGAGGCTTGGGTACTGACTAAAGCTAAGGTATAAACCAGAAAGTCTTCAGGTTATTCTTAAATGATTTTGCGGTGCAGATTAAACGACATCAGGCAAGGCGTTCTATTTACAAGGAGCATAATCAAAGAAAGCCTCACACTTATTTCTACAGCTCCACAGACTACACAGGTACAGCATCGTTAATAACTCATAATTATTTACCATTCTACAAAAAATCAGCAGCCTTTATGTTTGGCTTTTGTTTCAATCCAAACACAACTAAACTGGTTAAAGTGGTTCTCACCCCCGCTCCTCGGAGCTTACGTCACTCACATTTCCTGTTCAAATCTTCCTCTAAATGGGCGTAGCCTGGAGGACTGAAGGGGGCGTGAACGAGACTGGGCCGTTTACATTGCTCTGGGCGGGGGGCTGCTGACGTCAGGTCCAACTTGCAGACGTCAGGTCCAACTTCTGTGCCAGTGTTGGCGCCAGATTCAAAATTCAAATATAGTAATACAGGTCGCCAGCAGATGGCGCCTCACAGAAGGTTTTAGGCAGAAAGTTTAACTTTCAACTAATTTGCACCAAAGTGAAAAAACTATGACCAGGATATGTAGACAACACTATTGGACACTCATTTAAATCGTTTATCAGCAAAAAAAATGGATTTGAGGGTGAGTTGTCCTTTAAGAATAAACATAACATAAAGGCAATATACAAACATTTATTCAATAAAAGTCATTATTTGTAACAAAATTCAAATATTGTACAGAAATAAAAAAATTAGGCCATTTAATTCCAAATGAATAAGCTTGTTGAGTTGAAATAACATTTTCTTTTCTGATTTGTGCCTCCATATATAATAATAATAACTTGTTATGATCTCTTTTCTAGTGGAGGGCTCCTCCAAGTGCAAAATGAAACTTCCCTGCTCTAAAAAGGACTACATCCAGCTGCACACAGCCTGTGACCACGAGGGAAAGGTGAGCCTCAGTCCAGGTGAGCCTCAGTCCAGGTGAGCCTCAGTCCAGGTGAGCCTCAGTCCTGGTGAGCCTCAGTCCTGGTCCCTTTGGGGCTGTTTGGTCTGTGGGTGTATTCAGACACAGACAAAAGTCTGCTTATATGTGCAGAATTGAATTCCAACTAACATGAAGTAAACCAATGCGTATATATATATATATATATATTATTATAATATAATATAAGCTCACCGATTGGCTGGAACAGCGGTGCATTGCATTGACAGTATCACTCATGCAGAGCATACTTCAGAAGCAGTCGTCTGCAGTTTTCACACTGACTGTGACCTCTGCCTCCAGACGCAGGTTGTGTATGAGTGGATGAAGCCCCAGATATGTCTGGAGGACGTCCCGGGAGCGGTGAGTCTGCCCCCTGGTGGTGAGCGTGAGCCCTGCCCTCCCTGCAACCCTGGCTTCTACAACAACGACACAGCCACCTGCTCCCCCTGCCCGCCTGGGACCTACTCGGACGGGACCAACCGTAAGCCACTCCTTCACTGTTAATTATTTAGGGACGAGTTATAATTTACATAAGTGCTGCTGCTAGGGCTAGGGCTACTAGGGCTGAGTGGATAGCACTCTCGCCTCTCAGCAAGAAGGTCCTGGGTTTGAATCCCGGTCGGACCAGGGCCTTTCTGAGTGGATTTTGCATGTTCTCCCCGTGTCTGCGTAGGTTTCCTCCGGGTACTCCGGTTTCCCCTACCAGTAAAAACATGCACAATAGGACTGTTCATGCGCCTCCTGTTCAGCGACCCCGCTCCCATCTCTGTGTGGAGTGAGAGGACAAATGCCCAAAAATAACAATTGTAAACCGTTTTGTGACTCTGGTCTGTGAAAGGCTGTAAATTATGGAAGCCCGTTTCCGCCATGTAAAAAAAAAAAAAAGCATACAGAAAGTCAAAATTTCGACTTTAAAAGTCAAAATTTTGACTTTAAAAGTCAAAAATGTGTTGTTGTCTGGAACGGTCTCTGGACATCCTTCACCTGCAGATTATGTGAAGATATTGCCTACAGCGACCACTGCATCCTTGAAGTAGCCAGAAATAATGTTGTTTGATTGATTCTGTAAAACTTTCCTGTTTAAGCCCCAGACCGCGGTCGTAGGACGCAGGGAGGAGCTGTCTTTTTATTTATTTATGTTAAATTCAATTTACATATATACAACATTTAAATCAAACGACTTCTTATTTCGACATAGTAACAAATAATGTGAGCAATACGTTTTTATAATAAATCAAAGGAAAATGAGCCATCGAGACATTCCAATCCAATCTGCTGTAGACCACTCTGACCAGACGATGGCGCTGAGAGGGGTCCACACGGAGCGAGTATTTCCACGGCTGAAAGGATGCGCTTTCTACGTGTTGAGTACGGGGTTTTATTCATGCATCTATAATGGGTTTATCTATTTCTAACCCTTTTCAAAGACCCTCACTGTTATCTGCGGAGTTATTTCTCCGGTTTGTTGCTAAAAGAGTCGTGGCCTTTATTTTGTCACAATAAAATAATCAGACAAGGTACTTATTCCCTATATGTCTCTGTGTTCTTGCTCATACGCCAACAACTTTACCACACGCTCCATCAGCTCACCCCCGCGTGCACGCAAACACGTCACATACTCTTCAATGCACTGATCGCAATTCCAAAAGGGTAATATTGTCAGTGCCCGTGACTGTGGTTCTCCTGCCTCTGTCTGTGGTTCTCCTGCCTCTGTCTGTGGTTTACCTGCCTCTGTCTGTGGTTCTCCTGCCTCTGTCTGTGGTTCTCCTGCCTCTGTCTGTGGTTCTCCTGCCTCTGTCTGTGGTTCTCCTGCCTCTGTCTGTGGTTCTCCTGCGTCTGTCTGTGGTTCTCCTGCCTCTGTCTGCGGACCTCCCTCACTATCCAGTAATCGCGAACGGTCTCTCTGTCAGTCACAATAATATTCACTGCATTTCTGGTGCATCCATCGATAGCCGTGATACTGACCAGACGTCACCAGTTGATGCTCAATGACTTTGAACAGCCGCATGTGTTTTATTATTAATCTTCCACAGTCCGTTTAGGATAAACTAAATAGAGGCTTCTGAAGCGGATTCTAATCATAAACGGAGAGACCGTTTGCATTTTAACGCGATTACTACCACAACATTATTGCTGCTACTTCATGGATGTGGTCACTGTCTGTAAAATCTTCACATAATCTGCAGGTAGAGGATGACCCATGGTCATGGATCTATAACAGGGATGACCAGAGACCGTTCCAGACAACAACACATACGAGTTTTCAAAGTTTTCAACTGCACATGCGCAGTTGAAAACTCGAAATTTTGACTTTTAAAGTTGAAATTTTGACTTTCTGTAGGCTATTTTTTTTTGTTACATGGCGGAAACGGGCTTCCATAGTAAATAAATAAAGATTACTTACTTACTAACTTACTGATCCTCCTGGACATGTCTATAATCGCTTGTCTCATCCTGCAATAGTATGAAGTCATTGTACCACTATGACATCACACTTGGAGCAGTCTTTTAAAACCAAAGTATCGTCCATGCATTACTTTAGTCAATTTCTAAAACTATTTGATGTTTATGTAGAAAAACAAAACAAATTGTTGTAACTATTTTATTTTGTTTCCTCCCCAGCCTGTCAGAAGTGTCCTGCAGGCACAGAGCCCATCCTGGGGTACGAGTTCAAGTGGTGGAACGTTCTGCCGTCCAACATGAAGACGTCCTGTTTCAATGTGGGCAACTCTAAATGTGAACTCATGAACGGTGCGTGATCTGGAGGTTTGACATTCTGCCTGAGCTCCACACTGTCCGTACACATGTGAAAATAGGTAAATGTGTCAAATGTGCATAATGTAATTGTGTGTGTAGGCTGGGAGGCGGCCGGAGAGTACGTCCAGACCGGAGCGGGTTCTTCTGACAACGACTATCAGCTCCTCAACATCCGCATTCCAGGCTTCAAGTGAGTTCTCTACACTGGGTCCTGCGTCTGTCATAGGGGTTCTATGGTTCTATCTGCGGGAAAGGGTAGAAGAACCTATACTCTCCTGATCAGTAACTGTGCTTCACATGGACTTGACTGATCTCCTTTTAATCAACTATCAGAGGAAGAAATAATAAAACCTAAACTGCCCATTAAGGATCTAAGTCTACTGATCTCCAAAAATATTATTTCTCTCTGCTCAAACATGTAACTCTGCTCCGCCCAGCCCCGTTCCCTCTCAGAGTTTTGGCGTAGACGTGCATCTATAGTCCCTGCCCAGAGGGGAAGGAGCAGGGATCAGCAAACTAAATCCATATAACAGATAAAAGCCCTCATTTGGGCCCAAAACAATAATTTATGAGTGCACAGATAGCTCCTGTGCATCTGGAGAAGGCCTTCTTTTCCCTCTCTCCACTATGAGCGGAAAATTCTCTGTAAATGAGTTTCCATGTCCCTGCATTTGAGTTCTGAGCACTAAACCTGAAAATCATAGTCACACTGCATTAAATCACAAATTATCATGACGATGATTAAATAATATGGTCTTCATGGCCTGCATTTACTTTAACTAGGATAACTCTCTCGAGCTGTGGGCTTGCACTGTCAAATAGAATGCTGTGTATTTAAATGAGGATGCTTCTTTTCTCTGCACATTGTGACACGTGTTGTTCCCGCAGACTGCCCACGTCCCTGTCCGGTCAGGCGCCCTCAGAATACGGACGCATCACCTTTGAGTTTGAGACTTTGTGCAGCGCGGACTGTGAGCTCTACTTCATGGTGGTGAGCTGATCACACAAGTATAAGTCATGTGGCGGTGGGCAGGTTGGGGCGGCTTGTACAAACCTGCATCTTTCGAGTGTTAATAGAACGGCAACCAACTAGGGCTGCAACGACTAGTCGACGTTGTCGACAAAAATCGATAATAGAAATAGTCGACAATGAATTCCATTGTCGACTATTGTCGCCAGACGTGTTTTTCCAACAGACTGAGGCCTCCCCCGTCTCCCAAACAATCTCTGCCGAGAGTCCCACATGCGCAAGAGCGTCTATTGAGCGGAAATGTAAACAGTAATGGCGGCGTCCATCAGCTCCGTGTTGAAAAACTTCTTAAGTTTGGGAGCATTGTAGTCTGGATATGGCAAATAAAAAGTTTACCTGCAAGGTTTGCAACGCAGACATTGCGTATCACGGTAGTTCCTCGGTGACGAACATTGGAAGGGAAAGCATGAGAGAGACCAAGATCCCGGAGCGTAGCCACTTTGTAGTGAAGGACAGCGGTTCTGTGAAGCTGCTTTGATAACAGCACGGCGAGCGCACGGCCAGAGCGAAGCTATAATGTGACCAGCGCGGATCTTTGTACAACCTGTGGACGCGATAAATACACCGCTGTGAGAAGCTTAACGATGTGAGCCTCTGGAAGTGTCCCCCGTGTCTCCTCCTGTAGCCCAGAACTAAAACTCACTAAATTAAAGCTGGGGTACCTACATTTCCTTTGCATCCATAATGCAAGTCTAGTTTTTTATGTTGTTTTTTTGCATAATTAAGAGAGAGAACCATGTTAGTCAATATTTTACTTTTTGGGCTGAAAGCGTTTTTTTTTTTAGCTCAAAAGAAGTAAGGAGGAGAGCGCGAAATGTTTTCCTCTACCTAAGGGGGGCCTGGCAAACAATAATTGAGAATCAATGATCTATACTGACCAAGCACTGTGCAAAATTGGTCTTAGATAAGACATTTTTATTTAATTTGTGTATGAACCAGCAGCAAAGTAGAATAAAATATCCATTTTTCATTGAAGTACCCATCTTTCTTGTGTTTGTTATCATTTGCTACATAATTAAAGCAACTTCAGGCTAAATATAAGACAAAAAAAATAATTATCCGATTAGTCGACTAATCGTTTAAATAGTCAATGACTAGTCGACTATTAAAATAGTCGTTAGTTGCAGCCCTGCAACCAACATTGTTTCAGAATCCAAATCATTTTTATTGCCATGTAAGTAACAGGAAGTCATAGACTAGGAAATTGCTTTGGCTCAGTGCAACAGTCAAAGAAGAGACGTCAAGAATAGAGTGAGCCAAAATAAAAATCAGCATACACTTCTAAGGTATAAATATTTCAATCTGGAGAGACCAAGACAAACACGTTCATGCATTTAAAAAGATTTATTGTTTGGCGCATTGACCCCGGCAGGGACACTTGCAGAAGAGAGATCACTGTTGCTTAGAATGATCTCAGATCCCCCAGGGTCAAGCACTGGTGGTGGCTATAGGCATGAGCAGGAGCCAGAGCAGGTGCCAGGGCAGGAGCAGGAGCCAGAGCAGGAGCTTGAGAAGGTGCTGGGGAGGCGGTGGGTTGCAAGAGCTTCAAAGCGCTGCTTTGTAGGAAGTGGCTGCTTTTAAGCTGCCCGCTTTGCAGTCAGTAGATTGGCAGGGGGGCTGGCCGGGCTGTGTGATCGGCTCGGGCTGGTGAGGCTGGCCCTGTATGAGCGGCGAGAGGTCTTCTCAGTCTGAATTTACGCTTTCAGCTTCATTTAAATACAATTTTAATATAATAATATAATTATAATGTAATAATATAATATTACAATTATATTTACTATATACAATATAAAAGTGCACATGGGGCACACAATATGCGGTAAGCAGTGCAATAAGGTGACAGCAGTAAAGTGACGTTATGATGGGCATTAAAGTGAATTTATAAAGGGCTGTAAGGTAACTTTTAAAGGGTGGGGGGACAGTTTATGAAGTGTTCAAGAGTCCAACAGCAGAGGGGAAGAAACTGTTCTTATGACGGTAGGTTCTCGTCCGAATGGCCCGTTGTCGCCTGTTCGAGGGGAGAGATCGGAACTGTCTCTGTGCAGGGTGAGAGGGGTCTGCTGTAATCCTTTGTTTCCACATTCTACTCAGTTCTCCTCAAATGCAGTTGATTGTAATTTAATGTGCAGCTTGTCCCGGTTTGGTTCCAGTGTCTGTGGAAAGATGTTCAACTGTTTTCCTCAGGCCCTGTTTATACTGAGACGCTGCGCAGACGTTTCCAAGCTATTAACAGAAACGACCTGGCTCCTAATGCAAATTTCTCAGCGTTCACATGAGGTTGAAAAACGATGTAGTTCTAGCGCCCGGCCAGTAGTGGGCAGAGAAACTTTACAACACTCACACGACCCCCAGCTCCGTGCCCAGACCCCCTCTCGGCAGTGTACTCACTTCCTGTGCCAGACCCTCAGAACGCACCAACATCATTCTGCCTTTTAACAGCAGCTGTGAAAATGGGAACTGAACCTAGAGCTTCGCGTGGTCTCGTTTGGACGAACGAAGGAGTAGAATTATCCTCTGTGCTGTGCTCGAAGCCCACGAAGCTTGTTAGTGTGCGCCGCCATTTTTGTTTTTGTTTGTTCTCCGCACCTGCGCATGTCCAAATTTACGTGCGGGGAGCAGCGCGGAGGTGGGGGTCAGAGCAGAGGGGGATTTCACACCTTTCCCCTCTCGCGGGTGTGAAAGAGAGCCCCCGCTGTGCAGCGTATCTGAGGCTGAGTTTACACGGAGACAATGTGGCAGTAAAACGGTATAGTTGGATGTCGGTTGCTACCAACCGTTCATACGAAGACAGTGTTCCAGGGGGGTGAAAACGTAAGTGTTCAGATCCAGCCTGCAGAGTGGGACAACTCAGAAACGCTGCACAGCAGGGAGCTTTTTCACACCCGCGAGAGGGGAATAGGTGTGAAATCCCGCTCTGCTCTGACCCCCACCTCCGCGCTGCTCCCCGCACGTAAATTTGGACATGCGCAGTAGCGGAGAACAATCATCAACAATAATGGCACCGCCCACACAAACTAGCTACGTGGACTTCCAGCGCGGGACAGAGGATAACTCTACTCCTTCGTTCGTCCAAACGAGACCACGCGAAGCTCTAGGTTCAGTTCCTATTGTCACAGCTGCTGTTAAAATGCAGAATGATGTTGGTACTCTCTGAGGGTCTGGTACAGGAAGTGAGTACACTGCCGAGGGGGGGGGCTGGGCACGGGGCTGGGGGTTGTGTGTCGTGTTGTAAAGTTTATCTGCCCACTACTGGCCGGGCGCTAGAACTACATCGTTTTTCAACCTCATGTGAACGCTGAGACATTTGCATTAGGAGCCAGGTCGTTTCTGTTAATAGCCTGGAAACGTCTGTGCAGCGTCTCAGTATAAACAGGGCCTGAGTTGTCCCACTCTGCAGGCTGGATCTGAACACTTACGTTTTGACCCCCCTGGAACACAGTCTCCGTATGAACGGTTGGTAGCAACCGACATCCAACTATACCGTTTTACTGCCACATTGTCTCCGTGTAAACTCAGCCTCAATCTGCCCTCTTGACTCTGTGCTGTGAGGATATAGGACATTTTGGCACCCTTGATAAGAAACAGTATGGATTATTTTTGGCCAGCATAATTTATAATGAGACCATTCACTTTGTCATTTCATGTTTTATAATGTAAATATATTTAGTAGGTAAAAAATGCTTTCCTCCTGTAACTTTGCTACCACCAGAAGAGTTGGAAGGTTTTTTTCACAATTTTAAAATCACGGGCTGCAAACATCCATGTGAAAGTAAATAACATTAAGATATACTAAAAGCAGCAGGAGACCATGACGAAACCTCCTCCACTGACCCCCACTGATGTCTGCTGTCATTGTGTCCTTGAGCAAGACACTTAACCCCGCTTTGCCTGAAGCCCCTGTTGAAAGATCAAGAGCTGCACTCACCACCTGCAGGAGGATCAGTGAGGGGCTTGTGCTCTGTGAACTGGGCGGCAGCTCGGACTCTCACCCCCCTGACCCAGAAATGGATGATGGTGAAGAAGATGAGTGGATAATATATGTGCATTAATTTTGTTTTAAAAAAACAGGAAACTACTTTTTTCTACTCCCTCGTTTGTCCAAACTAAACCATGCAAAGCTGTAATTTCAGTTTCCATTTTTTCTGCTGTTAAATGCAGAATGATGTTGGTGCATTCTTTCACGTCTTTGCAGTGGCTTGAGGAGGATGTTGTTGAGGAAGTGGGGTCACGTGTGTTGTTTTAAAGTTCCACTGCCTCCTACTGGCCGGGTGCTAGAACTACACACAGGGCGGCACGGTGGCTGAGTGGATAGCACTCTCGCCTCTCAGCAAGAAGGTCCTGGGTTTGAATCCCGGTCGGACCAGGGCCTTTCTGAGTGGAGTTTGCATGTTCTCCCCGTGTCTGCGTAGGTTTCCTCCGGGTGCTCCGGTTTCCCCTACCACTGAGAATATGTACAATAGGTCTGGCATGCGCCTCCTGTTCGGCGACCCCACTCCCGTCTCTGTGTAGAGTGAGAGGACAAGTGCCCAAAAAAAAAAAATAACAATTGTAAACTGCTTTGTGACTCTGGTCTGTGAAAGGCGGTATATAAATAAATTTTATAAGATTATTTTTCTGTCGGTGTGTAGACGCTGTGCACTTTGAACAAGGAAGTTTTTGCTGATTGCTTTGCAGCGTCGCCGCAGCGTCTCCATCTACACTGGGCCTTAATGTTCCTCATCCTTATCCTTTACACACCTTGTTTATAAAGCTCTATCTGGCAACCACCCTCACACATGCTTCATCATGCAAATATGTATTTTTTCTCTTTTTAATGCACTGTGGCTATTTATGATTTTAATCCCGTGAGTGATTTTATTTTCTATGTTTTTAAATTGTATATTTCTTATCTTTATGTAGATTTGAATGTTTATGATTTATGCCCGATGTGATTCGGATTGTGAGGCGCTTTGCGTTGCCTTGTGTAGGAAAGGTTGATTTATGATGCACACTTTCTCAGCTTCACTGGAGAGATGATCTTTGATGGTGCTCCTCGTAAAGGGAATGCTCCATCCAATGTGCTTCGATACTGACCTTGCTCTATTTTTTCACCTGCAGTTATTATTTAAATTCTAAAACATGAAATGACAAAGTAAATATCCTCTTCTCTTTTTTATTAATATTGTGTAATCTTTTTGTGTCACATTTCTCCTTGTACTTATTTTTGTTGACATAATTCAAACTACAATTCTTTTTTTTTAGCTGAATGTTCCATGTTCTTTTCAAACATTTCCGCTGACACTTCTGGTGTGTGTCCAGGACATAAATCGCAAGAGCACATCAGTGTTGGAGTCCTGGTCCAAAAGCCAGGTCCGACGCACCTACTCTCATGTGATGACCCATAATGCATCAGTGTCCTACACCTGGGCCTTCCAGAGGACCAACCAGCCCTCAGAGGTGAGGCCCTACACATTCCAGCATTTAAAAGTGTCCAAAGGTAATCTGCAGGAACACTCAAACTACTGAAGAAGATGACAAAGTCTGGGATTGTGTCTTTAATTCAGACACAAGACATGTTTTATTGTTGATGGTAGAGACAGCACGAACACGAACAACGATGATACAGACTTCAAGTGATAATAAACAGCAGAGGAATGCAGTCCTCCAATCAGCATTTGCCACAGTGCGAGTAGTGTGAGATTTCATAACACTTTGAAGCAACTTTTGTTAAAGTTAAACTCATCATTCTATCAATGTGCAGAAGCCAGTACTTTTCCCTTGTTTTGTCTATCTGAAGGCCAAGCTACATGGCACTGTGGCAGCTGCTGATTGGAGGTCTCCATGCCTCCGCTCTGTATAATACACTTGCATTTTGTTGTTTCTGTGATCGTGTGTTTTGTTTGTGCTGTCTCTACCATCGACAATAAAACATGTCTTCTGTCTGAATGAAAGACGCGATCCCAGACTATGCCATCTTCTTCAGTAGCTTCAACCTTGAGATAACCAAAACAATGGAAAAGTACTGCCTTGTGCACAGAGTTAGAACTTTACCACAGTTGCTTCAAAGTGTCATGGAATACCTAAACTAGGATCTAACGTAGCTGGATCCTACGTTAGATCCTAGTTTAGGTATTTCATGACACTTTGAAGCAACTGTGGTAATTGATTTTCTAACGTTGGTTCCAGGGATCACACATAAAACATAAAAACCTTGCTTTTGCCCTTTCCATTCACACGGACCACGCTGCTGTGTCATTTTGACTCATGCTTCATCCCACTTGCCAAGCCGTTAATTCTCACACCGTGTTGAGCAAAAACACAGCGGCCAACTGTAGCTGTAATGTAGCATGATAAAATTGTTTTATAATTATTTGTTTATTTATTTCAATTGCGGACATGACAACACATCACATATCACAATTACATTTCAGACGATTGTAGTTAAGACCGCTGCATGTTTGACAGAGGAACCATTGGTCCAAAGTGTTATTACATGTCCAGGATGTAGATCCAGGACTCAGACTAGTTGCATTTGGCAGTTAAACATCTCAAGGCCCTGTAAATATGGGGTTTTATCATGGATTCTATGAGCACAACAACAATTCTTCACATCTGAAATCTGTATTGTTCAAAAACTATTACTGTAAATGGTTTAGTTTATTATGATATTCTATTTGCTGCAATTATCCATCCATCCATCCATTTTCTACCCTTTAATCCATTTCTGGGTCAGGGGGGTGACAGTCAGAGATGCCACCCAAGTCTCATAGCACCAGCCCCTCACTGACCCTCTGCAGGTGGTGAGTCCACAGGAGAACGGCTGCTCTCTGACTGTGAGCATAGCCTTGATCTTTCAGTGGGGGCTTGCTGCAATTAATTCAAGCTTTATTTGTAACAAGTTCATAGACGAAGTGTTTTGTCTATTTGAGAATATTATTGTATTTTGGTGAAGCAGATTTGCCAATGGGAGTTGAAAGAAGCAAAAAGAAGGAATTTTCTGCTGAGAGGAGAAAAATAACATAAGAAAAATACTCTGGGCACCCATCGGAGGCTAGTCCCTGTATTTTGTATTTAAACATAGCAGCATAAAACTATTGTGCTTAAAAAACTCTGAATTTGAATTGAATTTGGGGTTTAAAGAAATAAATAGTGGAAATTAAATAAAAATATCTACAAGGTAAGAAGGCTGTGTAGGCTTTTCCTTCCGGCTCAAGCCTATCACAAGACTTTGGGAGACTGGTTTTGGGGCGCAAACGAGCGATTGATGGGCCGTTTAGCATTTCTGTGTGTGTGTGTAAATGTGTGAAAACCAGTTAGACCAATATGAATGGGGCCAGTCTTGAGTTGTCTCCAAATAAACCATCTCGTCTATTGTTTCCAGGGGAGTGCCAATGAAATTACCATGCTGCATGCTGCTGGTGGTGTGAAAGAGTGGGCCATTCGTTATCAATACAGGGCAGATCTGCGGAAAGAATGAGCTCATGATTAACGCTCATGAGGTCTGCTCTTCTTCTGGTTTCATCAATACTTTTTTTGTTTTCACAGAAAGAGCCTGATCAAAGTAACAGTTTGTGAACAAATCAGACCTCAATATTCTGTGTTCATCTTGTTAGAAGGCATCTTTTACACACTGAGAGCTGATTGGCTGAGTGAGGGCTCTATACTTTCTCTGTCTGATCCAATGATTTGACACAGACTAAAACTAGGGTTAGAACAAAACTGCTGAAGAAAATGACAAACAATGCAAAGGTTCGGGATCGTGTACAACAGAAGACATTCAAGATTTAGATGAAGAGATCCGTTATTCGTCCCACAGTGGGTAAATTTCAGTGTTGCATCACAAGTTACAGACAATAGGAAGGAGGAGCACACAGCACAAGAAACAGGAATAATAACTCTAAACAAAACTAAATTAAAATAAAATCTCTGACTATAGCATAATAAGAAATGGTATAAAAGCTCTAAAATACGTCTAAAATCTCCAACTTTAGCATGATGAAGAAGCAAGACTTAAGTACAAAATCCCCTGACTAGCATAATAAAAAAGAAATGACTGTATATTCTATATGAAGTAATATATACAGTTGTATGTTTACGTCTGTACATGTAGCAGCATGAGGGTCTGGGACAAAGCCACTCAGAAATGTGACAGTAACACATGTGCTTCTATATTGTACATTCTGACATTATTATTGTCAGTTATTAACTTTTTATTGCACAGCTGAGTAAATTAAAGTGACAGTGATATTTTATTGACGTCACAAAGACATGAACAAAGTTTTTTCAACATGCCTGTGATTTTATAACTTCATACCAGAAACATCATGGACACTCCTCCTAGCATCTGCAACAACGCCAAGAGATATGTTAGCCTCTGTCTTCTGAAAACCAAAACATTCAAGTGAAAAAGTCTTCAACTTTAACCATAGTTTCTCCAAAAGTGTTCTAAGAGATCCAAACTGTTTAATGCAATTGTATGACATTCATTGTTTTCAAAGTGTGTGATTGAGATGATTGGTTTAACAGTGTTAGGATTATCTAATACTAACAACAGTTTCTCCAATCCACACTTTACAATTGTGTGGTGATGTAATCAAGTGACGTATTCTTTTCTTTGACTGTTTAGTGATTGTGATCTTGTTTAATTCATGATCATGCCATTTCATTCGAACAGTTACATGTTTTCAAGGATTATAGCAAAATCCACCAATTTAAAATACAACAATGTATAGATAGATTGATACTGTATTGACCACCGTCGGAGAAATTCAGCAGCAGCAGCAGAAACACATCCATACAAACACATAAGTACATCAATTATAAACATTTCTAACTCACTAACTAACTAACAAAAGTACATGCATTATAAAACAAATCTAGCTAACAATAGTGCACATGTTTAACTCGGACAGGCCTGTATGGGCTCCTTCTGCATAGTAGTGTGAGATATTTTCCTATTTTTAAGATTAAAGATGGGGTACAATTTATGTCACATCGAAAGAGCCAACCCCAGGTGTTCAAACCCAAACAAGAGACAAGGGGCTACTTGTTTCTTGTTTGTTATGTCTGCGTTTGTTCATTTTGTTAAGGCCATAATTCACAAAATAATGCCGTTTTGTTTGTCCTCACGGAAGAAGTCTTGTAAAGGTAAAATCTTGTGAACGAGTCAGACCCCAACATGCTGTCTTCATCTTTAGTGTAAGAAAGATCCCAGTGAGACATTATTGGATGTTTTGGACTGAAAGCTGATTGGCTGAGTGAGGGTGGTCCTCTTCACTTTTCTGTCTGAAAAAGCTGATCTAAAGATGTGACAGATGCCAAATATACATGCACTGTTTTGAGAGTGAGGAACTCGTCGGACAGATGTTCTTAGCACATTTGTTTGTGGCTTGAACGTTGCATACCCCAACTTTATTATATTGTATACTGCTTTTAATAATTCTGGAATCTTGAAAGTTGCCAAAAGTACATGAAGAAAAGCAAAACAAAGGCAATCCATGACTTCAAAGCAGATGTCCTCCTGGTTCAATACTCTACTCAAACTGATCACTTAAAGCTTGGGCACCTAACTTTCAAAACACCAACTATATAATACAATCCATCTTACTAATCAGCTCTCACCCAAAATCATCAAATATTTATTTATTTATTTGGCTCCCCTTTAGCTTCCACAAGTGGTTGCTAATCTTCCTGGGGTCCATTCCACACAGGATCAATTAACTAAATTAAAGTATTTCAAACATACAGTATAAAAAGCATTTTTCATCCTTAAACATTGCTTGGTTTTACTTGAACCGCATGGCTCTTACAAGTATGCAAATGATGACATTTTCTTACAAGGTGAAGTCAAACTGCATGTGTCATTTACTCCGGCTTAAGATATATTTTTCATTGATCTATTCTCTTGGGAAAGATTTTTAAAACATCTTTTCTCATAAGGAACAAGTCATCCGCTTTAGTGATGAATAGGACTGGGAGTGTCCCCTCCCCCATGCTCTCACGTGGGCTGGGCTTTATGCAAATACCTCCTCTCCCATTGGCTGCTGCTCTGCACTGGGTGCAACTGGTGGATAAATACAGCCAATATCCCCTCAAATTTTCATTAGAAAGTGTTACAATCACAGTGGATATGGCAGAGAAAGGACTACAAGTTCATCAAGAAACCTTCAGCTGCTCCATCTGTCTGGATCTACTGAAGGATCCCGTCACTATCCCCTGTGGACACAGCTACTGCATGACTTGTGTGGAAACTCACTGGAATGGAGAGAGGAGGAAGCAGAGCTACAGCTGTCCCCAATGCAGAAAGGCCTTCTTCTGGAGGCCTGTCCTGATGAAGAACACATTACTGGCCTCACTGGTGGAGGAGGTTGGCCGATGTGCTGCTGCTGTGGCCCAGTGCTCTGCTGCCCAGGGAGATGTGTGCTGTGACCTGTGCTCTGGGACCAAAGTGAAAGCTGCTAAATCCTGTCTCCAGTGTGTGGTCTCTTACTGTGAGGAGCATCTTCAGCCTCATTATGACGTGGCTGCTTTAAAGAAGCACAAACTGGTGGAGCCGTCTGAGAACCTCCAGGGCAACATGTGTCCTCACCACGATGAGGTCATGAAGATGTTCTGCCGCACTGACCAGCAGTGCATCTGCTGCCTCTGCTCCTTGGACGAACACAAAGGACACGACACTGTGCTGGCTGCCACCAGAAGACAGGAAATGCAACTAGAACTGGAGCAGAAAATTCAGAAGACCCGTGAAAGAATTCAAGAACGACAGAAACAAGTGGATTTGCTGCAATGCCAGGCGGATAATGCCATTTGTTGCGGTAACACAGCCTTGGCTGAGGCTGACAATGTTTTTGCCCTGATCGCTCGTCTGGTGGAGAGAACTAAGACAGAAGCAAAGGAAGACATCAGATCTCAGCAGGAGGCCGAGGAGCACAAACTCAAAGAGCTTCAGGACAAAGTGCAAGAGGAGATCATCACGCTGAAGGCAAAGTACAACAAACTGGAGAAGCTCTCACACTCTGAGGACCACAGCGGCTTCATACGCACGTTCCCATTTTTGTCTGAAGTTGATGAAACTCCAGACTCCGAGCCGTCCATATGTGAGGAAAGACCACCAATGTTCTTAGATGTGATCACAAGTGCAGTAGCTGAGCTCCGGGAGAAGCTGCAGGACACAAATGCACTGAATCAAGCTGCAGGCGAAGAGCAGGCCAAGCACAACACAACTGCATGGCTCACTTTCCCACCAATTAACTACCATGGCCAATCTGTCCGCGCCTACCAACAGCAGCTCCACGCCATGCAGGCCCAGAGGTGGCTTATCCTTCGGAACGTGAGGACCTTGCGAGCAGAGCTGTTGTACTACGCCCAGAGCCTCACCCTGGACCCAAACACGGTCCACTGTCAGCTGGCTTTGAGCGCAGACAACAACACTGTGCGCTTCATGAGCTCGGAGCAGGAGCATGTGGAGCACCCTGAGCGCTTCACACACTTCTCTCAGGTTCTGACCAAAGAGGTTCTGACGGGCCGCTGCTACATGGAGATCAAGGCAAGAAGTGAAGAGTATTTTACAGTTGCTGTGGCCTACAAGGACATGAGAAGAGAAGGGCTGTCAGACGAGTGCAGCCTGGGCAACAACACAAAGTCTTGGGCGGTGGATTGCTTCAGTGACGGCTTTGTGTTCTGGCATAACAAAAGGAGCCTTAACGTGAGAGCAAGACCGTCCAACAAAATTGGGATCTATGTGGACGTGGAGGCTGGGGTGCTGTGCTTCTACAGCGTGGGTCGGGAAGCCTCCCTGATCCACACCGTTCACACCAGCTTCACTGAGCCGCTGCTGGCCGGCATCTGGCTGAAGGACGCGGCCGACTGTGCCGAGATCTGCAGCATCACGCCGCGCTAATGGACTCTAATGGACTCTAATGGACTGTTAGTGCAGTCACTAAATAAAGAAATACTACAATGAACTGATATCAATTGTAAATAGTGTTATGTAATAAACACTATTTAAAAAAATTGTTTTTTAAAACAAATTTTGTAAACAAATTTTGTAAACAAATGTTTTAATTTTTTTGTAAAAAAAGACACTGTATTTGACCTTTCTTTAAACCCCACAAATTTGACTGATTTCTGTTCACCTTATTTTTGATTTTGTACAAACAAATTTTTTTTTGGAAAGCCAGTTCAACCTTTTTTTTGTAAAATAACATTTTGTAATATAAGACATAGTTTACTTATAGACAAAGTGATTCATTAATTCATGTGATTTTTTTTAAAGGTTTTTTTATTGCAAATGTCCAGATTTAACACATGTATGTTGTATTAGAATCTTAATAAAGGGTATTTTGTTCTGACACATGTATCTCTCCTCACTTCATCACACAATGGTAATGTACTTGCTAAAGCTCAGTTTTGTTCTGGAACATCAGTAAAAGTAACATTTACTGTGAAAGTTTAATACAATGTCCTTTTGGCTTGTTTAGCTCCAGACAAACAGGAATGTTTACATCCATCCATCCATTTTCTTCCCCTTAATCCATTTCTGGGTCGGGGGGGTGGCAGTCAGAGCTGCACCCAGTACACAGAGCACCAGCCCCTCACTGATCCTCCTGAGTCCACAGGAGCTGAGATCTTTCAGTTGGGGCTTTGGGCAATGTGTGGTTAAGTGTCTTGCCAAAGGACACAACGACAGCAGTCATCAGTGGGAGTCGTGAAGTACAAGGTCTTACGGTGGGCTCGAACCCACAACCTTCAGGCCCAAAGGCCAATGCTCTACCAACTGAGCTACTGTCGCCCTAGGAATGTTTACTAGGGCGACAGGAATGTGTTATTTATTTCATCTTTAATTCAGAGACAAATAGGTAGATATAACTCATACATAAAGAACATTGTGAACTTAAGTCACACTGGTTTTTGATCATGGGGCTGAATCCTTTTTGAGATTGAAAACAATTATTAAACTATTTTATTTTATGTTTCACTGCTCTTATTTCACTGGTTTTATCAGTGTAAACAAGTAACATCCGATTGGGCATTTCATCGTCTGCGGTTTGGCTTGTTTTAGTTTTCACTGCCCATTCTGTGTAATCCATTTCCAACCTGAACCGTGCACAAGACCCCATATTTTTAGGCCTTCATAAAATACTAAATGCTTCTATCAATGGTTGCAAGCTTTAAACATAATTTAAAGTACTCGCTGTAATACCTTCACGTACCCCTAGGGGTTTGTTTACCATGTACTCCCTGTTTGGAGATGCACTGCCATACCAATACAGTGGTTTGGAATTTTGGGGATTGTGTTTATGTAATTCCGATAGATCATGGAAAAAGCTTGATGATCTCACAGAAATATCACAATACCACAGACCAAATGCTGTATATGGAATATCTGTTTAATCCAGAAACTGTAGATATTAATGGACGTAGTCATTCCTATATCCGCCGTTGAAACTAATGTACCATCACTTTTGGCTTCTATGTGGCTTTTTCAAAATGGCCACGGGAAACCCTTTCCCACAGGAAAATGTGAAAAAAAAAAACGCATAAACTAGGCTAGTCCAAAAAAATATACTAGCTTTGTGCCAATACCCAACTTTTGGACCATCCTGTAAAGCAGTTTTAAAAGTTTTAAAGAAGAGGCCATACAAAAGCTTTGGATAATTCTCTTTCTTGCAATACCACTTCGGGCTGGTGGGGGTATCAGCGCACATGCTCGCCCGCCCCCACAGGTTTAACAACACAGTTAATATATACAGTCTATGGTTCCATCTGAGCATGTGCTGCTTTCTTGTGACTGCCTCGACTGCATCGTACCAACCGTGTGCTCTCGTCTTCTCCCACAGACGCGTCAGTTTGTGAACGACGTGGCGCGCATCTACAGCATCACTGTGAGCAACGCGGCAGACGGTGTGTCGTCTCGGTGCCGCACCTGTGCCCTCAGCTCCCAGCCCTCCTCCTCCCCATTTGCTTGCGTGCCCTGCCCCCCTGGACACTACATCCACCCGGACTCCAACCAGTGCACAGAATGTCCCACAAACACCTACCTGCTGCCCCACGCCACGCCCGGGCCGGACGCGTGCCAGCCGTGCGGGCCGGCCAGCAAGAGCGACAAGGTGACTATGTGCTTTATGTATCTCTGCTTTGATGCAGCTCAGCGTTATGGAGCTCAGACGTTTTAAGATTAAGTAAATAAGTAATCTTTATTTATATACAATACAATACAATACAATTTATATAGCAAGATAAATTTATATACAAGATTAATCAATCTTGATTTCCTATATATATATATTTATTCAATTCCTACATTCTATTTGTACAATATTTACTTACAAACATGATACTAGATCAAAGAACACTACTGTTCACTATTGCTTGTACATGTGGGGGGTCCGGAGCTGGTTTGGGTCTAAATGTTAAGTGTCTGGTAAAAGCCTCCATGCCGCTGAGCCTGTTGTGTTGTGTCCACAGGAGCACAGCCGGTGCATCAGCGACTGCCGCTTCACCCACGGAGACGGGAACATGACGAGGAGCTACGAACTGAGCGCCCTGGGGCCAGTGGGGGCCCTCATGAACGGCCCCAGCTTCACCTCCAAAGGGACCAAGTACTTCCACCTGTTCAACGTGAGCCTGTGTGGAATGCAGGTGGGGACCATACCACTCTAAAAATAACCAGTGCGGACAAATGATTTCTTCTTGTTGAGTGTGTGATTGGGTGATTGTGTGTTGAATGAGTGAGGGGTTGGAGCCAAATAAGCGTCTGCTTCGTCCAGTTTCCTTTTCAAACATTTTATTTCTGTTTATTTTGTGTCTTGCTTTTGTTTTTATTTTACTTGCATTTTGTCTATATTGCTTTCTTTGCATAACGTTTGAAATACATTCTCTACTACTACTACTACTACTACTACTACTACTACTACTACTACTACTACTACTACTACTACTACTACTACTACTACTACTACTACTACTACTACTACTACTACTACTACTACTACTACATGGAGCCGAGATGGAGCTAGGGCAAAAAGGAACCAATTTTTCTCCATCTTTACTGCTAACATCAGCCACACTGCAAAAACCGATGATAATATATAACTATACTTATTTTTAAGAGACGAGAACATTTAGAAGGAAAGACATTGTTCCTGTCCTTGAAATTCCTGCTTTCCTGCTTCTCTCATTGGAAAATCCTGTTTTGAAATTTAAGAATATTATCATGATAAATTAATCTTCTTGTGTTTGTTTACTTTTTGGATTACGTAGTGTTAAGTAAGTACTAGTCAAGCTTGGCTACCTAACATTTTAGTTCAATATATGATACACGTTGTTTGTCCCAAGTCAGACCACAAAATGCTTTCTTCCTCTTATTTGTCTTCTTTGTCTCGCTCAACTCGATCTTTTGTCGAGTTAAGCGCCGTGTGAGTCAGTATTGGACACTTTGGGCTGATGGGCTGTTTGAGGGTGATCCACTCTGAAAAAGCCAATCTACAGATGTGACAGAGACCAAAATACAAACATGCATGTGAAAACCAAGGAGAGCTAAGTTTGTGGTTTTAAAGTCACGTACCCCAGCTTTAGTGTTCTGAACCAAAAAGAACATTGTAAAAGCACCTCAATTATCACTGTTAAAATCAGCCACACTGCAAAAACGATAGTAACTCGCGCCACAGTGGGGAAATCTCAGAGTTGGGTCACAGGTTACAGACAGTAGGAGGGAGGAACACATAGCACAAGATAAGTCAACAATAACTCAATACTAAAATAAAACATCTCTAACTCTATCATAAAAATTAGCAGTATAAACTCTCTATCTTTAGCATAAGAAGGAAAGAAGTCTAACATCTACAACTTTAGCATGATGAAGAAGCAAGACCCCTGACTTAAAAGGGCCCATATCACGGTTTTTGACTTTTCTCTGCTTTAAACATGATTACAGTGCTATTTGGCCTTCATACACAAGCCCACAGTAGTTTTTTCATTGATTCTGTCAATCTTTTGTAAGAGAGCAATCTGTCTCCTTCAGCCTCGAGAGGCACAGAAACGCTCGGGTCCACTTCAGTGACGAAAACCACACTGATGACGCGCATGACGCGCATGACCCCGTTTGCTTTGTATTTAAAATAGTTTTTAAATACTTTTGTCAAAACGGGGTAAACAATATACAATTAGTATGCTGTTTTTTGTCAAAAATAATAAAAATAAAAATACATTAAAAGCCGGCGGGAGGTGATTGACGGATCAAAACAGCGAATCAGAGCGCACAGGCTCCGGCTCCCGAGTCCAGCGTCTGTGGTCTGGTCTCGCGGACACCACATAGAGCTGCTGTTTTTATGCTTTTGTCAGCAACTAAAAGTGTTAGGATCACGTCAACTTGAATGAAGTGTGTTATGGGTGTAAATATGTGACACACTATTTGGCCCTAAGAGGAAGAAAGCGGCTCGACTTTTTTCATCTGTTCATCTCATGGATCTATTATAAACCGGTTCATCTGCGACACTTCACTGAGACTGTTCCAGAACTACAGGGACAATGGAACTGGATTTACTCAAAAGCTGATCTGGAAACACGTTATTCCCACGGTAAAAGACGTAACTCGGACCCCGTCGATCTGTAAGTAGTAACGCTAACTCGCTGTATACTTCTGTAAACTAAATAACTAGGGTCTGATTGTGCATCGAGGACATAGGGCTCGATGTGACGGATTGTCATTGTTGGAAAAAGTTTATTCTTATGTATGAAATTACTAAGTATAGGTGATAAACGACAAAAGCGTGATGCTACGTCACCGTGCGGGCGGGGGGAGGCGGGCTCACAGGCAGAGGAGCAGACTCTTCTCTGGATCAGCTCGTTTGAGTCGAGGTGACGTCACCTCTATACAAGAGATGGCTCTAATCTCACAAGATTGATACAAGCGTGATATAGGACCTTTAAAACAGGATTATTTAGCTGCTTGGCCAAAATTGTTTTTAGGAAAGGTATTTCAAACTTAGTACATTTTGCGTTTTTTAAATTACTTTTTTACATTTCTCTTGCATTGTAAATTTACCGCAATAGTCTACATATATTTCACCGACTTCTGTTTGGGAGTTTTTTTTTCCATGGTTAAATGTCAGTAGGGACATATTTGCATTGTTTTGCGTTACAACCACTCTCTTCCTCCCTGTGTCCTTCAGATGGCCGAATGCAAAGACAACGTGACAGACCTGTCCCTGTACGAGGCGGAGGGAGGCAAACCCGAGGGCGGCGCGACTGTTCGAGCCTTCGTCTGTCAATCAACCATCATCCCAGCTGGTGGGCGGGGCTTCCACACCTCGCTGTCCTCTCAGTCCATCACGTTGGCCGACACCTTCCTGGGTCAGTGAGCTGGACTCTATAAAACATCCAATCAAATCCTCACCTTTGGTCAAATGCCTCCCCAAACTAAAGTACTTTCACAAAACAAAGGTAACATTTGTGAAACAAGTTGGATATTTGTCCCAGACGTATAAGATAAGATAAGAAAGATAAGAAATCCTTTATTTGTCCCACACACTGTATATATTAATGGCCAGAGTCACGCCTATCTCCGCCGTTCATAGGAGTTCGCCATGAAAAGTGCTTTCATGAAGCAATCCAAGATGGCCGCGAGTGGTCCCGCCCACAAGAAAATTGTGAAAAAACCATTGACTGTATATATTAATGGACAGAGTCACGCCTATCTCCGCCGTTCTAACTAATGGGCCAAAAAATGTGCTCTACTGGAGCTATCCAAAATGGCCGCGAGTGGTTCCGCCCACAAGAAAATTGTGAAAAAAACGCGTCTGCGCATGCGTCAGCTGGCGCAGCTCCATTCATTTGAACGAGAGACTTAAAAAATTCACAGCAAGTAAACTAGAGTGGACCAAAAAATTCACCCCCCTCAGCATTGACACACATGTGGAGCGGAGCTTTGGGCCAAGAGCCAACTTTTGGTCCATCCTGTAAAGACGTTTTTGAGAGGTCTGCCAATGCTATATGTTAGCATTGGCTAATTCTACTTCTGGGTCCACCCCCATTGGCCCGGGGTGGTATTGCAAGCATGTCAGCGCACATCATTTTGGCCACTTTTGAGCTGGGACCCTCCCCCACTGGTCCCACAGTGACAGGACAGTAAGAGACACACAGGGAGAACACAAAATATACAAAATAAGTAGTTGCTATGTTTCTTAACTATCTGTAAAGGCTGTAAATGCTTTGATACCAGCCTTTCAAAATAAAATAAAAAAATGTATAAATATATTAACTTATTATTTCTGTAAATTTGTTGTTGCTGTGATTTAAAAATAAATGTTTAGATGTTAGAATCTTCCATTTGAGTTGCATGGTAAATCATCAACTTTGATTTGCTAATGTAAGATCTGTGTGAAAAAAAGACTTTTACTTTTGTTCAAATCTTTTTTTTATACAAACAAATAACGAGGGCAGCACGATGACTCCGGTTTCCCCTACCACTAAAAACATGTACAAAGGTTGGTGTTGATTGGAGGCTTTGATGTTCAGCGTCTCACTTCCGTCATCAACATGTGGAGAGAAGGCAAGGCAGGGCAAGGCAAGGCAAGTTTATTTATATAGCACAATTCATACACAAGGCAATTCAAAGTGCTGAACAAAACAAGAAAGCATTAAAATAATAAATAATCACAGAACATTAAAAAGAAAGATACAAATATAAAATCCCTCAGTTGTATGCACAGCTAAACAGAACTATCTTTAACCTGGTTTTAAACATTGTCAGAGAGGAGGCCTGTCTCACATCTTCAGGAAGACTGTTCCAGATTTTAGCAGCATGAATCTGAAAAGCAGCCTCCCCATGTTTAGTCCTGACTCTGGACACTAACAGGAGTCCAGTCCCTGTGCTCCTCAGAGTCCGGGCTGGTTCATATGGGACTAACATGTCACTAATATATTTTGGTGCGAGGCCATGGAGAGACTTGTACACAAGCAGAGCTAAGTTCTGAGCCACAGGAAGCCAGTGCAGAGACTGCAGAGAATGGAAACATATCTTGACTCTGAACTTTGTAAAGCGCTTTGGGTGACCTTGGTCTGTGAAATTACTTAATATAAATAAAACATGACTTACTTACTAACATGCAATTGCGAAATGCTGTAACATTCGTGAAACATGTTTTATATATTGACAAAGTTTTAGCAAGAATTTGAGCCCATAGTGACAGGTGCTTGTGTGTGTGACAGGAGCCACAGTGGAGACCACACTGGGAGACATCACTGCTCGACCGGACCTGTTTCCAGACGCCAAACACCAACTGCCTGATATCATCTTCTACTACAGGTGAGAGCGCTCACACAGGAGGACTTCTCTTTTTTTTATTGCAATTTGAAACTCTACAATGCAAGTCAGAGTAGCAAGGAGTAATAAAGTAAGAACTCTTTCATATTATCACGAGTTTTTACAGCTTTCTTGTTCTTGGCAGCAATCATTTTGAAGAAAATGATTTGAAAAAGCAACAAGCACTCTTTGTCCATTATAAGTATGTGTATGTAAAGTACCTAAAACAATATCAGAAATGTCCGAGTCCAATTTTTCCATAAAATAAAGGACATCTTTCATTGTAAAAAGGCACTGGGGTATGTTTGAACTCATTGCCTTCTAGCTGTTCATCATTTTCACAGATTTTTCAAGACCCAGAGGATACTGTGTGTGTGCTATGACTATGTGTAATCTGAAACCAGATTCTGACTCACTGGACTGTCTACTTTCGTCAGAAAAATGTTAGTTATAATCCCAGTGAATGAGGGAAGTAAAAAGTACTCAATCACAAAATGTCAAAATGTACTTACTTCAAGTAGAGCCCATGACAATCTGTGCTGGAAGAATGGCCAGTATTCATCCATTAGGTCGTCACCTAATATGTTTGACAATAACAGAATAACAAAATGACAATGGCACACATAAAGCCAATAGTCTCATTTACAGAAGAACAAAAGGTGCAAAGTTCAGTATCAAAATATAAATCTCCCAGTGTCTGTATTGGCTTTATTTGTCTCAAAATGATGAGGAGGCTATATTATGAGCATTCATGATGGGCTGTTTCCTGGAGAGAATGATGAGCCGTGTGACGACGACTACTGTTCGATGGTTAACATCATGACATTGAAAGTTCCCCAGTGAGGGATGAATACAGGTTTATCTTATCTAATGTATTATTCTGCATTGCATTTATTATTGATTCTGATTACAGAAAATAACCATCAAATAATTATCAAAACTAACTTGGCTCCCAAAACTGATACCTGGACTATACCAGGGCTCTGAATATCCGCTCTGGTATTTCGCTTTAGCTGATATTCCGAGCCCTGGTATAGTCCATGTGAATACTGAGCCTAAACCTCAAACAATGATCTTTTTTGCAGGTTTTCTTTAACGATACCCGACTTGTTATAAAGTTACATGGATTTTTGGCCTCTCATCACCCCTCTCCAAGAAATTCTGGATTTTGATATACAAAGCTTTCTCTAACTCAAAGTGTCTACATTAAAAGTTAATTCTGAGCGGTCATATCTCATTAAAGTGATAGTCTGGAACTCTAAATGAATTACACATTTTAAGAATTGTATTAAATTGACCTCCGGGCCATAAATGTTGATATAAAATAAGTCATTTTATAATTCTAATATCACTGGTAAGTCCTGCCTTCCCTTCTCTTAGCTATAGCTCAAAATCCACAATGCCGTCCACTTTAACCAATCGAGTCATGCCAAGGGCTGTCAATCATCGAAGCTCATGCTCGCAGCTGCACGCATGCTCAGTTGTTTGTTTTCCCGGAGCCTCCGAATCAAGCCTTTATGCTCTGGAACTACATGAAAACTGAACAAAGAATTCTGAACATTCGCGCTGAGCTACCTATTTATTTACTGAACATATAGCCATAATCATTTATATACTGAACCTATATCCATAATCATTTATATACTGAACCTATATCCATAATCATTTATAAACTGAACCTATATCCATAATCAGATCCTCTGCAAATGTGTCCTATAATGTTCAATGATAATAGTTACTTCTGGGTTTACCGGGTTTTGTGCATTAAAACATTATTTTTGTCATTCTGAAAACCTCCGTGCATGTGTATTAATAATGTTATACACATGTACAGTATAATGTATTCTCCGACTAACATTTAAATGTGTTTATTGATTGTAATGGCAACGTAGGCGTAGACCAATCAGAAAGGAAGGGGGAGGGAGCTTGGGTCGTTTATTTCAAATCATGTACCTCGCTCTCTTTTTTTCTAACAAACTCCGGACAATCGCTTTAAAGTATTAAAATAGTATGGAGCTTTTATTGTTTCAATAATATTTGTGTGTGCGTAAACAGATTTGTGCGTGCGTAACCAGATTTGTGCGTGCGTAACCAGATTTGTGTGTGCGTAACCAGATTTGTGTGTATGTAAAAAGATTTGTGCGTGCGTAACCAGATTTGTGTGTGTGTGTAAAATAAATATTTGTGTGTGTGTAAATAGATTTGTATGTACATATCAAGATTTGTGTGTGCGTAAACAGATTTGTGTGTGTGTAATTTGACATTTGTATCTGTAACAGAACAATCTGTGTAAAGAGCGCGTGTCAAAAAGATTTGTAAGTGTAATGTGGTTGTTCTAGCAGTACACCAGCAGATGGTGCTGTTGTAGCTGGTTATTACCTATGGTTATTACCAAGCAAACAAAAACCTACTGCCTTGACAAGACACACTACCGCAGCTGTTTAAGATATTTTTTTCCTATTTTCAAAATCCTGTCATTCACACCACTGTGTGATACATGGATCTATTATAATAACTGGATAGGGTGTTACTAGCTTGGAGCTGAAGGATTCTCACGTACTGCAGACTAAATTCACGTTGGCTACACAGACATTTTCCCCATAGAACTCAAAGTAAACTAAAACAGCTGACAGAGAACCTACAGCTTTCATAAAGGTCAGATTTTGTGGGAATTTTAGTGTTCCTTGTCATCCTGAACTTTTCTTCTTCTTAAATCCTTCGGTTTTCTTTAAATCTACACTTTAGTGCCACAAACTCTGCTGGTTTGCTTGTGTGTAGGTAATAACCAGCTACAACAGCACCATCTGCTGGTGTACTGCTAGAACAACCACATTACACTTGTGAATCTTTTTGACACACGCTTGGCGGCAGAGGTGTGTCAAAAACAGATTTGTGTGTAAAACAGAGCCTGTGCGTAGCACTTAGGCTTTTTTCCGTTCTTCTCTTTGTACAACGTGGTTATTTACACACAGACTGTTCTGCTACAGATACAAATGTCAAATTACACACACTCAAATCTGTTTACGCACACACACAGTCCAAGTTACACTTGCGAATCTGCGAAGGCTGGACTGCGTCAAAAGATTCGTGTGTAAAAAAAAAACTTTTTTCTTTACACACACACAAATCTTTCTACGCACACACAAATCTTTCTACGCACACACAAATCTTTTTACGCACACACAAATCTTTCTACGCACACACAAATCTTTCTACGCACACACAAATCTTTTTACGCACACACAAATCTTTTTACGCACACACAAATCTTTCTACGCACACACAAATCTTTTTACGCACACACAAATCTTTTTACGTACACACAAATCTGGTTACGCACACAAAAATCTGGTTACGCACGCACAAATCTTTTTACGCACACACAAATCTGTTTACGCACACACAAATATTATTGAAACAATAATAGCTCCATAAAATAGTTCCTCATGATTGTCTCCTCGCGTGTTGTCGCTGCAGGTCCTCAGAGGTGACGGCGTCCTGTATGGCGGGCCGGAGCCTGGTGCTTCTCCTGCGCTGTGACCCGGACACGAGCCCCCAGGGAGAGATCACTGTGCCCAGGTACGCTGCCCACTCCTGCCCCCTGGAGGACCGGCTTCACCCTGCACCGCCCTTCACATCTGCTTTAGTCCTGTTCTTTTTAAAACCCTTGTGCTGTCCTCGGCACAACGTGACCTCTCACAGATGTTTAAAAGGAGTATTTCTTATTTCTTCAGCCACTTCACCACAACATCTGTCTCCACCTTATTAGAATGTTTATTTTTCTTTGCATACTCATTTGCATACTTGCTTGAGGGTGCTCATATATTTTTCACTTTTTTGAAAATTATAATACAAACATGTACAAAACTAGGGATAGAACCAAATTGTTTTAGAGCCAGGAACTAGTGATATTGTTTTTGATATCACTAATGTTTGTGGTTAGAAAGTTGGGTACCCAAGCTTTAATGGAACCGTATCATTTGCATATAGAGTACACATACAATCCTACATATAATTTTGCTCCTGTTTACACACCTGCGTATTTGGTTATACTGCAGTTAGGTCAGTTAATACGCAGAAACGAAGTTTCCTATCATAACTATGCAGACGACACTCAGATCTATGTCTCACTGACTGCAGGAGAACATGGACCAGTGGACTCACTCCTTCACTGTATCCAACAGATCAGTGAGTGGATGCAAAACAACTTCCTTCAGCTAAACGCAAACAAAACTGAAATGATTGTCTTTAGTCCCCAGAAACAAAGAGAGAGAGCGTTATCTGTCACCTACAGTCTCTCTCCCTAAGACCTTCAAACAAGGTCAGAAATCTAGGGGTAATACTGGACTCAGACTGAAATTTTATTAGCCACATCAAATCAGTAACATCAGCAGCTTTTTACCATCTAAAAAACATTGCCAGGATCAAAAACATAGTGTCTAAAGCAGACCTGGAGATTCTTATCCATGCATTTGTCTCCAGTAGGTTAGACTACTGCAATGGCCTGCTCACAGGTCTGTCCAAACAGGCTGTAAAACAGCTGCAGTACATTCAAAATGCAGCAGCTCGAGTCCTGACTAGAACCAGGAAGTACGACCACATTAGTCCAGTCCTCAGGTCCCTGCACTGGCTTCCTGTGGCTCAGAGAATAGACTTTAAAACAGCTCTGCTTGTGTACAAGTCTCTCCATGGCCTCGCACCAAAATATATTAGTGACATGTTAGTCCCATATGAACCAGCCCGGACTCTGAGGATCACAGGGACTGGACTCCTGTTAGTGCCCAGAGTCAGAACTAAACATGGGGAGGCTGCTTTTCAGATTCATGCTGCTAAAATCTGGAACAGTCTTCCTGAAGATGTGAGACAGGCCTCTCTTACAATGTTTGAAACCAGGTTAAAAACAGTTCTGTTTAGCTGTGCATAAAACTGAGGGATTTTATATTTTTATCTTTCTTTTTAATGTTCTGTGATTATTTATGATTTTAATGCTTTCTTATTTTGTTCAGCACTTTGAGTTGCCTTGTGTATGAATTGTGCTATATAAATAAACTTGCCTTGCCTTGTGTACTGTTGGCAGCCGTCCTAAGTTGAAATGACAACGTATGAAGCATGAGTTCTATATTGTCCCTATGTTCGTGTTAAATGGTACTAGTTGCTTCCCTGTGTCCCACAGTCAGTGCCCGGCCGGGACGTGTGACGGCTGCAGCTTCCACTTCTTATGGCGGAGCTCTGGAGCCTGTCCCCTGTGTTCCCACCATGATTACCACCGGATAGAGGGGGCCTGCAAACACGGACTACAGGTACAGCTATGGCCTCACACCATAATTTAATGTCTTTATTCCTGTTTCAACGCATTTGTTTCTCAAAAATCTTTATAGGCTGAAGTTGTTTCTCCTAACCCTATAATCACAAAAACAGTATTTTTTTAAGATGAAGAATAAAAACCACATAATCCAGACAAACACATTACATATTTTAAGTACATAGTGCAATCACACAAGTACACACATACAAATATTCAACATCCATGGACATGCACTCATTAGGTAGCGCCACCTGCCTGTGAAATACTGATCCTGGTAGACCTCAGAAGCCAAGTAGGGCAGGGCCTGGGTAGTTTTGTGATGGGAGACCTCCTGGTGCTACAGTGGCAGTACAGTCTGGTGCATGCATAAAGGGTTGGTGGTGGTGGTCAGAGGGGCACATACTTGTTGCCTTGCTTTTGTCGGTTTGCCCAACAGTAGTAGTTAATCACCTCTGTGTGAGTGTCTAAAAAAGCTCTATATAAAACCGATGCATCATGTAGGTTAACCGCATACACCATAACATATATTATCATTAGTCTGTATATTTTTATATTATTACCACTATTGTTATTTTTAATAATTGTGTTATTTTCAATATAATAACCTAATGGATGGGGTTATGATTTCACACAGTGGTCTCCTCCTCTATACCTGTATGCTTGGGATCCAGCGTGTATCTCTCTTATGAAGAGAAAAAACCATTGGTCATGCCATTTCGGCGACAATTGTTATTTGTTTACTTATTTTGACTGTATTTGTTCTATGCCTTATCTCTATTTAATATGATGGCAAGGAATTAATGTATGGTTTTATTTTTATTCTTTTTGTGTGTGATACGTTTGTCTTAATTGGGACCCCAGGAAGATTAGCAAGCACATTGGTGGAGCTAATGGGGATGATAATAAGCAAGAAGCCGCAGAATACACATAGTATTATGTACAGACAATAAAGAAACGATCGGCTATACAAGTTTAATATATAAACTAGACCAAAGATTGCATTTGCAACTTTTGCCTTTTGCATTATGAACACTAGCCGCTGACAGTTCTAATTGAGCTATCGTCTTCATGTGAGGAGAGCCATTCCCCCATGCTCAGAGGCTAATCTATTCAATTGTTGTGTTGTGCATGGTGTGGTTGTGTGGCAGGGGGTGGTGTGGGTGTGGAAGGAGCCTCGCGTCTGTGTGGGCGGCCTGGGCCTGCCTCAGAAGCAGACCCTCCCCTGTGACAGTGTGGAGCGCTGGCTGCAGCTGGGAGGGGGTCTGGGGGCTCTGGCTGCACTGCTGCTGGTGTCACTCACCTGCTACTTTTGGAAGAAGAACAAGAGGTACGAACACCTTTTCTCTTTTAATGCAATCCTGTGGATGTTTTTTTTTTGTTCTTGAAAAAAATTAAGTACGGTGAAACTTCTCAAAACAATTTTGTAACTGACTACATTTTTTAGTTTTTGCAAAATTATTCTGCCGTAATATATCTGTCTTAAATAAACTTGAAAAGTGAAATGAGCGTTTGATTTGGCACTAATCTGTCTGACTCTGGCCTCCTGGACTTGCTCGTTCATTAGGCTGGAGTACAAATACTCTCGGCTGGTCATGACGGCCGATAAGGAGTGTGTCCTGCCTGGAGCCGACAGCTGCGCCATGATGGAGGGCGAGACCGAGGGAGAGCCAGAGGACGACGTCATCTACTCCAAGCCATCGCTCATCGGCAAACTCAAGGCTCTGGCATCCAAGGTACAATTCAAGATTAGATTTATTCTGCAAAATCACCATCACTGTATCATTGTTCCTCTTAAAAACAAAGCTAGAGTTGTTTTTAGATCAATCCAGGCCAATGTGAGGACCTTCTGGAAATAGTCCTATTTAATAAACATTTTGTGAGTTGATTAGCTGAGTGGGGGCTGGTACTCTTTTCACTTTACCCTTGTGCTTTTTAGATCTAAAATAAGGATCTAAAAGGGTCTAAATGACCCAGGGCTTTTTCAAGTTAGGAAAAACCATCAACATTCAGTTTGAAAAACAATTATTTAGGGTATTTTTAATCACTATGGTGGCTCAATTTGACCCGAGGATAGCACAAGGATTAAATTAAGGGGCTGGTCTAAAACATAGACTGTGATATAAATCCACGTGATAAAACCTAACTATTTTGAGAGTGAAGAACATGGGGTTTATTACGTTTGGTTTTTTAAACTCCAGCTTTAAATAAAAGTCAATTAACGAGAGTGCGAAAATGCTCGTCACAACAGAAGACATAATGTGCCGCACAATATCAAGTCCCCACCACACCTCATCCCCCACTCCCCAACACCCGCCACACTGACCCCCCTCATCTGGGCTTTAGAAGCGTGCTCTGGCCCACCTCTCTCAACCGTACCCAAGCCCAGTTGCCGCGGTCACATAGCACCTAAACCCCGGATCTAATCGCGAAGTGGGCTCTAGCGCTGCTCTGATCAGCAACTCTGATTGGTCAGAACGCGGCCAAACCCCTCTGTGCACATGCACAAGAGCCACACACGCGTATTTGGCGAAAAGCATTATGGGAGCTCGTCCACTGTGCAGAACCGGGAGGACCAGACGTTGCCCAAATATAGGTGAGTTCCGCTAATCTTTCAGCGCCCATGCCGGCACATGTGCCACTGAACACAAACCATTCATTTGAATACGCCGCCATCTTGGATCTCCAGGGCTTGCATATAATGCACAAGTAACTAAATGTTGCGCACAAGTCAAAACGTATGTGTGTGCTCTTAGTGGAACTGTGTGAGTACAATTCAAACGTATGTTTGCAAGTATTCAAAGTGTGTGAAGTGAAAATGGTCGAAAGTGTGTGGGTGCAATCCCATGAAGTGTTGCCTACTTAAACTGTGACCCAAAACTGACCCAAACATCCTTGTGTCCGCAGGGAAATGGTGAACGGTACGAAAACGTGCAGCTCAACTCGTCACCGTCCAAAGCACTGGTGTGGAGCTAAACCACCCCCAACGTAAGACTGCAACGGAGCGAGAGAGCCCGCCTCCTCATGCCAGCTCCGCCCCCAAACTCTCCCCGCTATTACCACGGACACATAGTGAGAGAAAGGGGCGGGGCGTTCTGAATCAGCTCAGGGTACGACGCAGACCTTTGTGTTTGTCATTATGGCATTTCCTGTGTGTTATTATTTCATTTCCGGTTGTTATCGAATCAAGAACAATCAAGTCCTTTGAGACGACTGCTGTCGTTGACTTGACTTGACTTGTACTATTTAAGGTATTTATTTGCTTCTTAAGCGTCGTTCATATTGCATTTTCAGTCCAGACATTGAGTTCATGGCGCAAATGGGAAATAATGATGTCACATGACGGGCGCTGGGGGTTGACTGTGTACGTGTTGAATAAAAGATATTTATTTACAAAATTGTGGATTCTTTGTCGAGTTTCACATGATAAAGCGAAAAGCGAAATTACGTACACCTACAAAGGCACGTAATATAGTTTTATTTGAACTATTGCAGACTGCACGACTTCAATGCACACAAGCCAATGTCAAATTTGGATTTTGACCCAAAATGTATTCATGCAACAGTGTCCTGTAGTGATATAGTGAGACCATCCTTGCCAGCTTGTGTCTATCGCAAAAAGAGTTTATGGTATGTTCTTTATTTGAGCAGGGACAGTGTAATTCAGAGGCTTCAAACTCATTTTGGTTGGGGGCCAAACTTAAAAACATAAGAGCTGGTTAGGCATGAAAATTAGAAGTATAAAAGTGGTTATTTGACATGAGTTTTGATGTTATTTTCTGGTCTGTTTAGATTCAGTCACAACTGGCTAAATATTGAGAAGAGTATGTATTTGAAGACTAATAGTTAAATGTAAAATGATGCGTATTTTTTTTTATTTTACTTCTAATTTGTGTTAAAAAAAATTTATGGATTAAATGATACGGTTGTGTCCTTTATAAAAAAAGAATGAAGTATAACATGCCATAGAAGCCCATTACCATCGACGCTGCAAGTCACTGAAATAATAACTGAAAATCATTTTAGGGGCCACTAAAAATGGTCTGGGGGCCTGAGTTTGACATGCCTGGTCTAACGGCTCTTGCTTTGTCATTGAACTCGTGTTTACTCTCTAGTTTGTCACTTTCTTTGTAATTGGTCTGATTAGATTGAACCAGAGGATACATGTCATTATATCCAATTCTTCATTAGTTACACCAAAACGTTTGGCATAACTTAAAGTAAGGTTTGCATGTTTCTCCCTGGGTCTGGGTGGGTTTCCTCCAGGCGTGCCAGTTTTCCCCACAACAACCCAGGGAAAATCCTCCAACTCCGGTCCTGGCCAAGAGATGGGCTTCGGGGCGCAGTATTGTGGTGACCTGCCAGAGGCCCTAGAGGCGTTGAAGGATGGGTCAAAGGAAGAGTGCAAAATATGTCAGAGGGCTCAAACCACTAGTTCAGGAGCTACCAGTTGCTTGCCCTAAACATTCAATCAATCAACCTTTATTTCTATAGAGCGCTTTCACTACAGAGAGTACAAAGTGCTCCACAGTCCACACCACATAGGGCGCAAATGATCACATAAAACAAACCTCAAAATCACACAGTTAATTAAAAGCATTAAAATCACGAAAGGGATTTAAATAACAGTGTATTAAAATAATAGATAGAATTCTTCACTTGTATGCACAGGCAAGAAGTGTGTAAAACGATTGTGCATACCAACATTATTTTTGTGCAGAAAAAGTTTGGAGACTCCTGCTGTTGGAGAATAGCAAGCAAGTCACTTTTTTTATCTGGCACATTTCACAGACCAAGGTCACCTAAAGGGCTTGACAATATTTTGGAGTACTGATATTTTTCCTTTCCGGATAAATATGGTAAACCATAAACATTAAAATGGTCAATGCTGCTATAAAACAGTGGCTTGAAAAAGTATTCATACCCAATAACTATTCCATGTTTTCTATGATCACTGTCATGCAAAGAATCGGTAAAAATACAAATAAAATATCTATGTAAATGTTCAAGGCTTATAGAGTCATTCCCCGACGCAGACTTTGTGCTGTAATTGCAAGTCTCTTCTCTTCTACCACATTGCGGCAGTCTGTCATAAAAATGGTTAAATAATAATGAATACTTTTTTCAAGCCACTGCATGTTTCAGTCTGTATGTGAGCCGTCCAGCAGAGGGCGCTCCGTGACAGAGGGAAACGGTCTATGGGTGAAACCTGTGGCTGTACAGTGTTCGTGGTATTCACAGGAGGCCAAAAGTAAAATCATTTGGAAACATACAGATTATATCAGTTCAATATTATTTCTGGGCAATTTCACAGTGATTTACTTATTTATCTGTGTTATGTTTAGAATTTCCCCACTATGAGACAATCTTTGAACCTTTTGACTTCAAAATTAAAGCCATTCCGTTTATGTAACATGTATAGAATACCACAGAATCGAAAGATCTGCACGACTTTAACTGGATCAAATAATCAGATTACCCAACAGAAATTTACTGGGCATAAAAATACACCACAGGACAAGCAATATTGACCATTCAGCCTCAGTGACACACTAATTAATTTCTTTCCGAATTTTCTGCTCTGTGTTCACTTCCCTTCATCCTCCCAAGAGTCCCCAGTGCCCCACGCTCCAAACGGATCCAAACTGGTCTGACTATGTATGTATATATTTCTTGCACTGGAATTCATATTAAGGGGCGAGAGTGGCTCAGTTGGTAGAGCATTGGCCTTGGAGCCTGAAGGACGTGAGTTCAAGCCCCACATGAGACCTACTACACGACTCCCACTGATGACTGCTGTCGATGTGTCCTTGGGCAAGACACTCAACCCCACTTTGCCTGAAGTCCCTGCTGAATAATCAAGGTTCCTATGTACTCACCACCTGCAGGGGATCAGTGACCCAGAATTAAGGGGTAGAAGATGGATGGATGGATGATTATACAGTATTTTATACTTGTTTCTTTATTATGCCAAAGGTAGACATTTTATTCTTCTTTATCAAGCTAAAGTCAGAGATTTTGTTCTTGTTTCTCAATTATGATGAAATTGGAGATTATAGATTACTTCCTTATTATGCTAAAGCTAGAGATTTGTTTTGTTATCTTATTTAGTAGAGAGTTTAGTTTAGAGTGGAGAGCTGTGTTCATTTATCTTCTGTGCTGCTCTGTTCTGTAACTGGTGATGCAACACTGAGGGATGAATACAGGATTTCTTAATCGTTTTCATTACAACATGAGCTTTTAGTTGAATCTTCAATAAAATAAAAATCTGGTATAAACACGTCCCCCTCACTTCTATCTAAATGCAGCACAGATTGCTCTTCTTTGTGGAACAGTTGAAGATGGGGAAACTTTCATTTTGTTGCACTAAAATCTTTGCTCATCCTGATCATGTAATCTTCTATTATTCATCCTTTTTTCCCAGCTTCTAAGACCAAAGCATGAAAAGAGAACTTATAATGACAGAAATGAACAGAAATAATGGTTTTATGACGCTCCCATAGGACACAATGAAATCTCATCTAAAGTTGCTCTCCCTCCTAACAAGCGGTGGAGTATCAGTCCTCTGCTGCAGCGTTACATAAAGGATTCTTTTCCATTCACATCCACTGTTGCCACGGACGACGGACCCTGCCTCCTCCAGAATGTGTCCGGATGAGCGCGCTCACACTGGCACAGGACGAAGACACAACGGATGGCAACGACTTAAGACATTTGGATGTGTTTCTTTTCCACAGGGATTTAACACCACGCACAGACGGCACTTAACCTCACCTCTGCTCTGGTCCTCTCCCAGTCTGCAGTCCTGCGGGTCACACTCGGGTCTGCAGGACACAAGAAATGTGTACTATTGATTGAATTAGTATTTATACTCTTCAGTGGCGGAAAAAGTAAAGATACAACTGCAAAAGTTACAACTTCCAACACTTTTAAAGCATGTATAATTTTTGAAGTATCTCTTGAAACACATTTTTTCAGTAAAAGGAATTTCGGTTAGATTTTGAGCCCTGTGAGATTATGAAAAAGACAGTGATTTTCTGGCTTTTCAAAGAATAGTTTGGTCTCCAAATTGGAATTTTTGCAGTCAGATGACATTCCTCACTACTTCAATTAGACTGCCTTGTAATTTCCCACTTCTTTCACAGGTTTTTGTTGTGAGGGTCAGTATGTTTTAGTTATTTACCATTTTAAAGCATGCAATAGTACGCATTTTCAAGGTCATGATCCTGAGCAGAATCACAAATAATGCATCATACTTTTTGCAAATGAAAAAAGGAGTTGAGTGTCCAGTCCAACTTGTTCCTGACTTGGCTCTGGTTGGACATGAGACAGTCCAACATGGGCCAGACAAACTTCTCACTGGTTTAAACAGAAGGGAGCACATTACCCCTGTTTTAACATCCCTCCACTGAATCCCTGTGCATTTTAGAATTGACTTGAAGATTTTACTGATTACGTTTTTGGTTTGGCACCAAGCTATACATCACCAAACTTTCAAACCCCTTCAAGCCCTTCCCCTACAGCCTTAGACCCTTGGGTGGGTCCCTGTTGACTGTTCCAAGGTTGAGGCTCCGGACAAAGGGTGACCGAGCCTTCTCTGTCCCTGCTCCTTGGCTTTGGAACGTTCTCTGAGATGATCTGCCCGAGCAAATAAGGCTAGCTCCATCAGTATTCTCTTTTAAATCGATTTTTTGAAACCCACTTTGATCCAACAGCTTTTAACTACTAGTTTTAAACTTTATATCTATTTTACTGTTTTGCTTTGTCTTTGTTTTGTCTTTCCTTATTTGTTTTCCTGTATCTACTATTAATTATTTTGACTTTGTATTAATATGATTGTTTTTGTTTTTTATGCTGACTGTTTTGTAAAAGTGCTATACAAATAAAGATGTGTAAAGAAAGTGTTATTATTATTATCATTATGGGTCAAATGCAGAGAGCCCATTTCCCTATGGGGACAATACAGTTCCAGGCTG